CCCCCGCCCTCTTCACTCTTAGGATAATGCTCTAGTTGTAGTATATTGATGATGTTTGGTGCTTTGTATATATACATACCAAATTAAGAACATGCAAGTCCCAATTTAAATAAGACTATAATGATTGAAATCGAACCATTTCTCCGAGTCTTTTTGCAGTTTTTCCTTGTGACAACCGAATAGAGTCAATGTAGCCTCATCAATGAAGCCTGGCACCATATAATGTATCAAACTAAGCCGGAGACTTGCCATTATGTACGTTTATACGAATTCAGACCGTTTCAGTTCTGTTAATTTAATGGAAGGCAACAGGTCTGGACTAAACGTTCCCATGTTTCTTTAGGAAACATAAAAATCAATATAAAACAAAAGGGGAAACATGAATAGTGTTTTTAATGTTGCTAAATGGTAGCAACATATTTATTGAAGAAATAATCAACGTAGGGTGTTTGAGTGGCACAGTAGATAGCGCACTTGCCTAGCACCAAGGCGGCCGGGGTTTGATTCCCCGATCGGACGTGAAAAGGTATGGGGTCACCTGTCCGACTACGTGGGTTTTCTCCGGGTACTCCGGTTTCCTCCCACAGTAAGACCCACCCCACATGCTAACATCCGGGCCAACAAGAGTGATGAGTATAAGTTGTAAATAATTGTTTTATAATTGTTGTAAAATAAATAAAGTTTATGTTGTTTGTTTTGAATATGTGTGCCCCTCATGTCTTTAATGTACCGTGTCTTAGAGAAATTTCTTGCGCTTTGAAAAGCTGTTTTACAAATTTACAACATAATAAACATTTAGATATTTTCAAGACGTCTTCCTATGTATATTTTTAGATCATAATGTATCAGCATCCATACATGTTCCATATATGTTCCAGGATTGGAAAAAATTCTGAAAGCAATTTTTAAATCTACTGAAAATGACTGCATTCTAAGAGCAATATTCAGTTCACATACATGTATGTACATGTGTTGCTTTCTGTCAGATTTCAGGGATTATTAACAAGGATCCAAACTTTAGACAAAAATTATTCAAAATATTGTCAGTTGGAAGTGTCCTTGGCAAAACTACTTGTTAAACCAGACCTGGCATATAGTGTCTGTGCACGTGGATTTTTTTCCAAACCTGGCATATGGAGGTTCCCCAACGAGTGATGGTTGGTTATCATGTTTCTCTAACTCGAGTTAGTTCATTTTTAAATTGTATAAAGGCACAGGGTTTACCGAGTGTCTTTTACAATTTTAAAATTAAATAACCAGTGTTAGGTAAACACGATAACCTACCATCACGAGTTTGGGGTCCTTTTTCTCCCATAACATTCATATTTTATCTGGAAAGCCATATGTATCCCTTGAAAATACACTTTGTCGGCTTCCGATCGGGGAAACAATTGCCGTGAATCATGACGTCACACATCTTCGCTAGCCAAGTGTTCGCTTCGTATACACTTCACTTACTTGTAAGTGGAGTGTATACGAAGCGAACACTTGGCTAGCGAAAATGGACGTTACAATGGAAGATGGACGTTACAATGGAAGATGGACGTTACAATGGAAGATGGACGTTACAATGGAAGATGACGTCGCATAGCATTGTTACGCGACATCATAACTAATAAATTGACCAATGACATCATGTCCAGGGTGTTACCCACTAGCAGGAAACCAAAATTGTTTACAAACTCCAAGCAGGTTTATCCAACGAGTCAGGAGAGGAAAACTAGTGGTTGTGGGAGAAAAAACAATGTACATACTTTTAAAAAATATATATCTTCATTTTGTATACAATGACATCTAACTTTACCTTTTTAGTTTACCATAGAATTTGCCGTACATTAGCAACATTTAGGTTAAATCATTTTTGCACGTTAATTTTTTTTTTCAAAATCTTTCGTTTTTATCAGCAGATTCATTTATAATAAAGATTACTAAAAATAAGAAAAACTTTTCTTTGTATTTTTTATCTCTTAGTGTGTGGGTGTTTGTTGTGATTTTTTCCATTTGTGGTTAGGTGGTGATCGGAGAGTAGAGGGACAGCATAAATAACATTGTAGACAAACATCTGGATAAATACAAATGGGGAGAGAGGCACGTGACCCCCACTGCCTACTTTTTTTCTCCCTCAGGCTAACTATGCGAATACCTTTATTCCCCAACACCCATTCACTATCAAGTAAAATTCCATAACTTCTTACATGGAATAGTCCTAATACAGTTGTAAATCAAAATTGCATTCATTATTACCTGCCTTTATCAAAATAATTAACAAAAACATTTTCAAAATTTCAAAATAACTTGAAACATTTATTAGGTTCTTATATTGATCAGTGAAAAATAAATGGAAAGCATGAGAAGTTTCCGTACTGATCACCTGTCGAGTAGCACTGATTACATTCCTATATCTCCAGTGGCTTAGATATTTTCACACTTACAAAATATATATACATAGTACATAAATATAATTATCTCACTGGAATAAAACCTACATAGAACGATTTATATTATGTAGACTAGTGCATTACTGTAATTTCTACATTTTGGTAACACTTACCACAAAGGCCTTTCATGTAAATGTGTACACTTGAAATTCATAAATTGACAAATTGAAGGGCATTCATATAAAGAATTAGATCACAAATTATAGAAAGAATTTTATGTTTTGAATATACACAAAGATTTTGAATACATTGAATAAAGAAAGAATAATATTTTTTCAGGTAAACTCATGGACAAATTGAATATAAACTTCATTATTTTTACCGTTTTAACACACATTTTAAACTTGAATGGTCAAACAATATGCAAAATAAGAGAAAGACACTAGATCTAGACAGAAGGACAAGAATAGATATGTCCCAGTATGTATGCATACTGCTATTTGTAAGATACAGAAAACAATAATATCTGTATCTACCATATCCAATATTTAGATTTTAAATATTTTGATACCAGCATCAATGTTAAAGTGATTCACATGTCTGATATTCTGAAAGATAAATGAATCAACATCACTGTTAAAGTGATTCACATGTCTGATATTCTGATAGACAAATGAATCAACATCACTGTTAAAGTGGTTCACATGTCTGATATTCTGATAGATAAATGAACCAACATCACTGTTAACGTGATTCACATGTCTGATATTCTGATAGGTAAATGAACCAACATCACTGTTAAAGTGATTCACATGTCTGATATTCTGAAAGATAAATGAATCAACATCACTGTTAAAGTTATTCACATGTCTGATATTCTGATAGACAAATGAATCAACATCACTGTTAAAGTGGTTCACATGTCTGATATTCTGATAGACAAATGAATCAACATCACTGTTAAAGTGATTCACATAGCTGATATTCTGATAGACAAATGAATCAACATCACTGTTAAAGTGATTCACATAGCTGATATTCTGATAGACAAATGAATCAACATCACTGTTAAAGTGACTCACATATCTGATATTCTGATAGATAAATGAACCAACATCACTGTTAAAAGTTATTCACATGTCTGATATTCTGATAGACAAATGAATCAACATCAATGTTAAAGTGATTCTCATATCTGATATTCTGATAGACAAATGAATCAACATCACTGTTATAGTGATTCACATATCTGATATTCTGATAGATAAATGAACCAACATCACTGTTAAAAGTTATTCTCATGTCTGATATTCTGATAGACAAATGAATCAATATCAATGTTAAAGTGATTCACATATCTGATATTCTGATAGACAAATGATCCAACATCAATGTTAAAGTGATTCATATGTCTGATATTCTGATAGACAAATGAATCAACATCACTGTTATAGTGATTCACATATCTGATATTCTTATAGACAAATGAATCAACCTCACTGTTAAAGTGATTCACATGTCTGATATTCTGATAGATAAATGAATTAACATCATTGTTATAGTGATTCACATATCTGATATTCTGATAGATAAATGAACCAACATCACTGTTAAATTAAGTGATTCACATATCTGATATTCTGATAGACAAATGATCCAACATCAATGTTAAAGTGATTCACATGTCTGATATTCTGATAGACAAATGAATCAACATCACTGTTAAAGTTATTCACATGTCTGATATTCTGATAGATAAATGAACCAACATCACTGTTAAATTAAGTGATTCACATATCTGATATTCTGATAGACACATGAACCAACATCACTGTTAAAGTGATTCACATATCTGAAATTCTGATAGATAAATGAACCAACATCACTGTTAAAGTGATACACATGTCTGATATTCTGATAGATAAATGAACCAACATCACTGTTAAATTAAGTGATTCACATATCTGGTATTCTGATAGACAAATGATCCAACATCAATGTTAAAGTGATTCACATGTCCGATATTCTGATAGACAAATGAATCAACATCACTGTTAAAGTGATTCACATGTCTGATATTCTGATAGATAAATGAATTAACATCATTGTTATAGTGATTCACATATCTGATATTCTGATAGACAAATGAATCACCATCACGGTTAAAGTGATTCACATGTCTGATATTCTGATAGACAAATGAATCAACATCACTGTTAAAGTGATTCACATGGCTGATATTCTGATAGATAAATGAACCAACATCACTGTTAAAGTGATACACATGTCTGATATTCTGATAGATAAATGAATCAACATCACTGTTAAAGTGATTCACATGGCTGATATTCTGATAGATAAATGAACCAACATCACTGTTAAAAGATATTCACATGTCTGATATTCTGATAGACAAATGAACCAACATCACTGTTAAAGGGATTCACATATCTGATATTCTGATAGATAAATGAATCAACATCACTGTTAAAGTGATTCACATGGCTGATATTCTGATAGATAAATGAACCAACATCACTGTTAAAAGTTATTCACATGTCTGATATTCTGATAGATAAATGAACCAACATCACTGTTAAAGTGATTCGCATATCTGATATTCTGATAGACAAATGAATCAACATCACTGTTATAGTGATTCACATGTCTGATATTCTGATAGATAAATGAATCAACATCACTGTTAAAGTGATTCACATGGCTGATATTCTGATAGACAAATGAATCAACATCACTGTTATAGTGATTCACATGTCTGATATTCTGATAGACAAATGAACCAACATCACTGTTAAAGGGATTCACATATCTGATATTCTGATAGATAAATGAACCAACATCACTGTTATAGTGATTCACATGTCTGATATTCTGATAGATAAATGAATGACTAAAACCCAGACATGTAAATCATTTTTCGTCGGCATAGTCAAATTACCACCTCAAGCCAGCACCCAAAATTTAGAGGTACTGACCCAGAGATATGTCTCCCATACATGTTAATGGCACATGGGGGCTGGTTTTTATGACATAGCACACGTCAACACTCAAAGTTTTTGAAGAGCTTTCACCAAGCAGAAACAAGACAGGAACTAGGAGGAGGAAAATTACAAGGGAACAAGAAGACCAGGTGCTGTTTCGTTTCGTAAACTATGATCGCAAGTACGTCGTATACTCTTTGAACAATTTGATTACAATCTGTAAAAGACTTCTGGAATGTCAAGTTCTTAAAAGTTGCGGCCAAAGTGTCTAAGTGTATGTTCGTCAAGTTGTGGTAATGCGTGAGTGACTGTCTCGTTTTGGGGTTGTCTTTGTGCATCGGGAACCAAGAGTTTGCCTTACATTGGAGAAAATCTTATTACTAATAATTATATTGTATTGTTGGATCAGTAATTTTGGCAAGTTGTAGCAGAAGATCTTAAAAGCAAACCCTGGATATTTCAGGATGACAATCACCCTGCCCACATGTCTGTGATGGCTCAGCAATGGAAAACTGAAAACTATATTGTTTACCATGCCCTTCACAACCTCCTGATATAATTATCATTTTTTATGTCTCAAAATCTGTGGAGAAAAATTTACACTTGTCTACAACGAAGTGCAAGACAACATCAAAACACGACAGGAACTTATTGAAGCTGTACAACATATATGTATGTCTCTCACTCCATAAACGCACTTCACTCCAAACTGCCAAGATAAGGGCAACTGATGAGGGGCATGCTACAAAGTACGAAAAAATCCAGGTTAATCATTCAAATTTTGTGTGTGATGATGTAACTTAAGTAACATTGATATATGCAAAGTTTAAAACATGAATTCATGAAAACCTGAAAAAACTTATGACACTGTAGATGACTTTTAACTCCGGTCAATTATTGTGTATAAGAAAATTTTCGCCACAGTTTCATTTCCTGTTTTCGCCCAACGGAATGGAGACCAATTTATCAGGACAGGGAAAAGTACACAACATACTATGCATACTTAGTAACATGTGAAGAGCGAAAACGGATTCTTTCAGTGAAGGGCAAAAATTTAACTTAGTGAAAGTTTCCCGGCATACAGTATCACACATGCATACAGTATCACACCCACATACAGTATCACACATACATACAGTATCACACATACATACAGTATCACATATACAAAATGAAAACAACAAAATGTCCTGACCCTTCAAATGAATGGTATATATCCTACACAGAAATCTTTCACATGTCTAACACCTGAAGTTTCACTGACAAATCAGTGACATCCACTTGACCAATGTCTTTCCACTGTTCCAACCAGATCTGACTCAGGCTATCAATGTCTACCTTGTCTAAACCTATACAAGTAAAACTCAGGCTACGGAGTGGGTGGGAGGTGGCCAGCTTATCAGATACAGCATCAAGGAAGGGGGTATCCAATGGAGACTTGAGGCCACACCCTTCCACACTTAATTGGTCCAATTTGGTGTCATTCTGACCCGACTTCTCCAGAATGCGACGTACAACTGAATTAGTCAATTTGGAATTCCCAGAAAGTCTCAAATCCTTAAGGTATTTTCCAGATTCCAGTATCCTATGGAAAAAAACAAAGAAATTCTGTTACCTTTGAAATTGTATTTATCAATAATAAAGTTTTAAGTGTAAGTAGCCACAGTGCTTGCTGTGGTGTAGTGGTATCTAATATATTCTCTGGCTTCTATGCAGTGTAATGACGTCCATCACATAAAAATTTTAATATCACATGAAATAAACACAATCTTCATAATAATTCAGATTGAAATAGAAACCTACACTCAACTAAAGCATTTCCGACTCCATGTTTTGTAAATAGTCACAATGGAAAATAAAATTAATATATGAAAGAAAAGATCACCAGTTTTAAAATTTGTCTTTGCTGTGAATTTGGAGTCTTATCATAAAATTGCCTTGTAAAATTACAACCGGAGAGCAATACTCATATCAAGTTTGGCTTCCATTGTCCTAATGGAAAACTGACAAAAAGGTGAAACTCTCCCAGCCAGTCATATTAAAATACCAATCAGTCGAAAAGATGGTAAGCTAATCATATGCATTAATTTTTTATTAACATTTGCATATATAATTAAATGGTGTTACTCTCATGGGCTTTATTTGCCCTATGTTTCGTAGGAGTCACAACCTTCAATCCAGTAACACTAAATCCCCTTCATCTTTGGATACCTCATGCTAAATGAGGTTCAGTTTAACTCATCTGAACTTAATAGAGATTTAAAAGATTAACAGCGCTCGTTCTTACAAAACTAATGCCCATTCCCAAATATAGTCAAACTTCTTTAAGCTGTTTTGGAATTTTTAAAGGAATAGATAAAAGACCTCTGATAGACACTGCACTATAGCGTAAGCTCACTCTTGTGTAAGGCGAGCTAGAATATAAGACTCTTTCATGTCCAGGGTGTAGGATAGGGAAATTCCACCCCAGGGGTTTTCAAATTTGGTAAAACCTCTCAACTACCAGCATAAGCTCAGAAACCATGAAAATGCCTTTGGACTGGCTACCATTTTGTAAATATCAATTTTCCCCCCTGAGCTTTTTTGATGAAAATGAATCCGTCAGCAAGATTTAACATACCCCATATTTGCAAACAGAGTTCTGCAGAAATATTTTTTTTTATCTTTCTAAAGTGTATGGTAAATATATCGTTAAAGGTTTAAATTTCATCACGTTGCCTTTTTCCGCATTGTGGCATCGGTGTTTTCCAAATTCGTGACGCTCATGTAAGATAGACTCAGAAAGCATGGCTATCTTACATGGACAGTGTTATCTTACATGACCGGATATGAGAGAAATCAAAATGTCTTACCTCACAATGAAGTCTAAATCTTCAGAACATATATGAGAACTTGAAATATCCAACTCTTCTAGGGCACAATTCTCCTTCAAAAGAGAATAATAGCAAGATAAGACAGGAAACCTATACCATGCAATACGTCTTCATAGAATAAATTTCACATGATTAGAAAAAGGTATTTTGTTATAAAACTGCACCACATTATAATCATAGTACAATTTGATGTTAAACAATGAAATAATATAGAAATGATAATACAGCAGGATTGCACTCTATTGTCCACCCTGTGTGTCAATATCAAAAGCTAGATAGGGAAATTAGCTCATTTGTTTGTTTGTTTGTTTGATTTTGTTTAACGTCCTATTAAAATTAGCTCAAGTTGGGGTGGAAGCATCATAAAAAATGGAAAAATATAATGGAAGCATAATAAAAACAAGCCATTCGGATTGATATGTTACGCCTCGGTTTGACCAAGTTTGGTTGGTCTAGCACTAATACTTTCAGTGAAACTAACTTAAACACAAAAACTTAATGTTGATGGAGATGCTGACAAAATCAAAAGACCATCAAAGGTAGGCAGCATCCAGCATTTGATGCATGGGTTGAGATGTATTTCCTTAGATGCATCATTGGTCCAAGTTTGGTTGGTTTAGCACCTATACTTTCAGTGAAACTAACTTGAACGCAAAAACGTATTGTTGACGCCGACGCCGGAAAAGCAACACCTTATCAATTTAATGACACTGAAATGACATCTTGTTTCCGAATATCAGCTGACAAGGTACTGAACCTTTTGTATTCAGTCTGTTTTTGTGCACCTCCTCATCCCTGTTCCTGTTCAAGGTAGTTCTAACAGCATAGTGTTGTACCTTACCTGTGCAATATAGTTCTGGAGTTAGATTTTACCTGTGTCTGGTGTGTGTTGGGAAATAAAACTGTTTTTAGCATATCGAAACGTAGTACAACTAAGTGTACATAAAAGGTAAACATACGCTTACAGCATATTCAAATCGATTCAATTTTATATTGCCAACTCGTACATATTTTACACCTTTGTGTACATAAGCTTCACTGGTCATTTGTCTTATGAAGGTGACAACGTACATATGGTATTAGCAGGTGGTACTAGTCATACAAAAACACTTACTGGTTGTGATACATAGCATTTCTACTCTTCATACTTACCAACCTGAAGAAAATGTTTAGATACATGAAATCTTTTTTCTCCTTACCTGAGAGAGGTAATTCTGCAGGTGCAGCAGTAGATGCGAGGATGCACTGGCAGTCGTCATGTTGCCTGCTACATTTAGCTGGATAAGCCTGGCAGCATTGAGACTCATCAGGAGCAGCTCTATACCCAGGGCGCCAAACTTGTTACAGGACACGTCGACACACTGGAGGTCACATTCTAGGCAAAACAAGATGTCAGCATTGGTTTTTTAATTTTGAATTAATTATGCAAATATCATTTCATTGAATCTATGTTTTTTTTAATATTTTACGTGTCAGAGGAATATTTCTAAATATAAACTGTAAACAAATTACATAATTATTGCATTTTTTTGTGATAATATTGAACTGAACTATAAAAGTCAGAAAAACAGGCTTTTTATCAGTTTTCATCAAAAGGTATGTTCAATGTCACTCGGTTTTCAGGGCACAATGAGAGTTAAATGTCACAAAGTTTAAACATACTCTGAAGGGCCGTTGCCAACTTGACCCGATGCTGCTGGAAGAACTTGGCACTGAGGTCACATGACGAAAGGTTAAGGTTGGTGATGCTGGGTAGACATGCTACGACGGTGGCTAGATACTGACAACTGGAGTCTCCCAAGGAATTGTGGCTCAGGTCCAGGCAACTCAGATTCTGGAGGAAAATTCAGAGATGATGTAACGCAGATAAGTGTGGTGTGTAACTACGATATCAATTGTAAATCTCAATAACAGATGTGGTTATTCCAAGCCCATTAAAAACGAATCACTGACATGAAGTTTGATTTATAGATACTATATTGTTCACTGTTGTCATCATTACTGCCTGAATGGGTAAACTAAATGTAATATTTGGAAAATACCAAGTGATATTTAACTGAGAACTGCCCCATTAGACGCAGCCTGACAGACCAGTATTGATGACTTTTAACTGAGGGATATTTACCTGTAGAACGGCCCCAGTAGACACAGCACCTGTCAGTGTGTCTCCCAACTGTTTGACTGCTACACTGGTGATTCTGTTTCCAGCCAGAAACAATGATGTAAGATTGGGAAGGGAACCCAGCACATTCAGAAGTCCCTCCAGTCCAGTGTCTCCAACTCTGTTACCTGGAAAACCAAGGCCATGTTATACCAAATATATACATAACACTCATCGACACTGATAATACCTCTCAAATGTTCATATTTACATATTAATTATTGTGTTAACTGCAAAACATTCCTCATCATTAACCCATATTGATGTTCAATTTGCTTCTGAATAAAAACAAGAGGCCCAATGGGCCTGAATCGCTCACCTGGTATTAATCTCACACTTGTAATCTTAAAAGTGGACTAAAATACAGCTATAGGCAGAATATCAGTGTTTGATTCATAAGAACCAATTAAAAGATTTAAACATATGACGCCTGTGACCTTCAATGTTGTACAAGGACATTAGGTTTAAAGTGGGTCAAGGTCATTCATTTGAACAAACTTGGTAGTCCTTCATCCCAGCATGATACAGGCCCAATATCAGCACCCTGGGCCTTTTGGTTATTGAGAAGTGGTTTGAAGATTTTATGACATTTCACCCCTGTGACCTTGAAAGTTGGTCAAGGTCTATAATTTGAACAAAATTGGTAGTCCTTCATCCCAGCATGCTACAGGCCCAATATCAGTACCCTGGGCCTTTTGGTTATTGAGAAGAAGTTGTTTGAAGATTTTAACATATTTGACCCCTGTGACCTTGAAAAAGGGTCAAGGTCATTCATTTGAACAAACTTGGTAGCCCTTCATCCCAGGTGAGCTAAAAAAAAATAAGAAAGCAACGATGATGGACATAAGATGTTGATGAAAGAACAATGATGTCAAATCACGATAGTGTTAAATGGAGCTCAATGTTCGGACCCCAATCCTGTTTCAATTTATTGGATAACAAACTATGAGTCTAAAAGGGTTGTGGCTATTAGGGTTATACAACATCTTGTATTATAGTGGGAAATACAGAAACATGCAATACATGATCCTGTATTTCAAACAGTAATATAACAAGGTGGTGTATTAACCCAGTAGCCAGAACCTCTTTATTGCATAAGTGGGGTTAAAATCTTTGAAAAACATGAACCAAGGAGGCTGCAATAAAAAAAAATAAAAAAAAATCAGATTGCTGATTCATTAAAAGCTAGTTTTCATAGTCCACAAAGCCCCAGAATGGGTCAGTCCGTTTTCTTTCACAAATCTTTATCGGCAGCATTTTTCACTTCTTCCACATAAGTTTGATTTTCTACCAACAAATGCATTCATAATTGGATACAATCAATGAGTGCTGGTAGAATATATGCGTATACAATCTTAACAGAAATGATATCTTTATTTGGAAGTGGTTTTTTTTAACAAACTTGTAACATCCACATCTACTGGAAATATGCACAACACTAATCCAGATATGATGTAACAGTTTTCTAAAACATACCGGTACCAGTCAGATTGAGGGCCTTGTGGGCAGTTTGGTTTGGTATGGTTTTAGTTTGTTTAACGTCCTATTAACAGCTAAGGTCATTTAAGGACATTCCACCATGTGTGTAGTGTATGTGTGTATGCGTGTGTGTATGCAGGAGACCGGGTATGTTGCTGTGCATCACCTTCTTGTGATAGCGCGGATCTGATGCCAACTTTATAGTGCTATTTCACTGAAATACCATGCTGAAGGAACCAAGCACAGCATTCCGCTCAGTCATATAATACTGACAACAGGTTAGACTGACACTGTCTGTTGTTATTCCAGTCTAAGACATACCAGTAAGATTGAGGTCCTTGAGGTTAGAATGGCACTGTCTGTTGTTATTACAGTCTAAGACATACCAGTAAGATTGAGGTCCTTGAAGTTAGACTGACACTGTCTGTTGTTATAGCAGTCTAAGACATACCAGTAAGATTGAGGTCCTTGAGGTTAGACTGGCACTGTCTGTTGTTATTACAGTCTAAGACATACCAGTAAGATTGAGGCCCTTGAAGTTAGACTGACACTGTCTGTTGTTATAGCAGTCTAAGACATTCCAGTAAGATTGAGGTCCTTGAGGTTAGACTGACACTGTCTGTTGTTATTTCAGTCTAAGACATACCAGTAAGATTGAGGTCCTTGAGGTTAGAATGGCACTGTCTTTTGTTATTACAGTCTAAGACATACCAGTAAGATTGAGGTCCTTGAGGTGAGACTGACAATGTCTGTTGTTATTACAGTCTAAGACATACAAGTAAGATTGAGGTCCTTGAGGTTAGACTGACACTGTCTGTTGTTATTACAGTCTAAGGCATACCAGTAAGATCGAGGTCCTTGAGGTTAGACTGACTCTGTCTGGTGTTATTTCAGTCTAAGACATACCAGTAAGATTGAGGTCTTTGAAGTTAGACTGGCACTGTCTGTTGTTATTACAGTCTAAGACATACCTGTAAGATTGAGGTCCTTGAGGTTAGACTGACACTGTCTGTTGTTATTTCAGTCTAAGACATACCAGTAAGATTGAGGTCCTTGAGGTAAGACTGACTCTGTCTGGTGTTATTTCAGGCTAAGACATACCAGTAAGATTGAGGTCCTTGAGGTTAGACTGGCACTGTCTGTTGTAATTACAGTCTAAGACATACCAGTAAGATTGAGGTCCTTGAAGTTAAGACTAACACTGTCTGTTGTTATAACAGTCTAAGACATACCAGTAACATTGAGGTCCTTGAGGTTAGACTGACACTGTTATTACAGTCTAAGGCATACCAGTAAGATTGAGGTCCTTGAGGTTAGAATGGCACTGTCTGTTGTTATAACAGTCTAAGACATACCAGTAAGATTAAGGTCCTTGAGGTTAGACTGACACTGTCTGTTGTTATTACAGTCTAAGACATACCAGTAAGATTGAGGTCCTTGAGGTTAGACTGACACTGTTATTACAGTCTAAGACATACCAGTAAGATTGAGGTCCTTGAGGTAAGACTGACTCTGTCTGGTGTTATTTCAGGCTAAGACATACAAGTAAGATTGAGGTCCTTGAGGTTAGACTGGCACTGTCTGTTGTTATTACAGTCTAAGACATACCAGTAAGATCGAGGTCCTTGAGGCTAGACTGGCACTGTCTGTTGTTATTACAGTCTAAGACGTTGACATACCAGTAGGATTGAGGTCCTTAAGGTTAGACTGACACTGTTGTTATTACAGTCTAAGACATGCCAGTAAGATCGAGGTCCTTGAGGTTAGACTGGCAGTGTCTGTTGTTATTACAGTCTAAGACATACCAGTAAGATTGAGGCCCTTGAGGTAAGACTGACTCTGTCTGGTGTTATTTCAGGCTAAGACATACAAGTAGGATTGATGTCCTTGAGGTTAGACTGGCACTGTCTGTTGTTATTACAGTCTAAGACGTCGACATACCAGTAGGATTGAGGTCCTTAAGGTTAGACTGACACTGTTGTTATTACAGTCTAAGACATACCAGTAAGATCGAGGTCCTTGAGGTTAGACTGGCACTGTCTGTTGTTATTACAGTCTAAGACATACCAGTAAGATCTAGGTCCTTGAGGTTAGACTGGCTTGTCTGTTGTTATAACAGTCTAAGACATACAAGTAAGATTGAGGTCCTTGAGGTTAGACTGACACTGTTGTTATTACAGTCTAAGACATACCAGTAAGATTGAGGTCCTTGAGGTTAGACTGACACTGTTGTTATTACAGTCTAGGACATACCAGTAAGATTGAGGTCCTTGAGGTTAGACTGACACTGTATTGCTCTGAAAACTGGGATGACTTGAGCAGGTCTCAACGCCAAATTCTGCAGTTCCAGGTTACCACTTGTGTCACAGCCCTGTAGGATGGTTCTGACATTCCTGTAGCTCACTGTAACAAAACATACCAATATTTGATGATGCTAATAACGCCTGTATTGGCATCCAAGGCCACTCCTACAAACTCAGTAAGTTTAAAGTCTGAAAATGTGCTGGAACAAATATTGATTTGGGTTTTTTTGGGGGGGGGGGGGGGGGGAGTATTGTTACAATGTATGTTGTTATTTTTCAAATCAGTTGGCAATGTATGTTGGAATCTTTACAATTTTGCCTTTGATGTTATTATAATAATGCATGGGGACTTGTATGTAATACCCTCTGTTGGTGTGTTTCCAAACCAACAACAGAATGGTTTTCGCAAGCATCTCGGTTGTACCACTGCTTCATTTGCTTTACAAGAAACTGTATTTTCGAACATGGAACAGTAAAGTAATGTTTACGTAGTCTTTCTAGACATGCAAAAGGCGTTCAACACAGTGTGGCACCAAGGTCTGATGTTTAAACTACGACGCATTGGGCTTGAGGGTCAGCTATATAGAACTATATCTAATTCCTACAATGACGTGTTGAGTGCGGTGACGTATGATGGTATGACGTCAGAATAGTTCACTGTTAAATCCGGAGTTCGACAAGGTGGGGTGTTGTCAAGTTTTCTATACCAAATGTTTATTGACAGCCCACTTTGCACCCTAGAAAAGAGCAACCAAGGAGCTAGAATCGTGTCTATACCGGCAGGTAATCCTACTCTCGCTGATGATGTTGCCTTAATTGCTATAACACCAGCCTCGCTACAAAATATGTTAAATATGTGTCACACCTACAGCACGACATGGCAGTATAAATTCAATAGTTCCAAATGCTCTATTATTGTGATAGGCAGATTCATTCCAAGGGAACCTTCGTTTTCCANACCCTCGTTTTCCTGGTCAATAGGAACCAATCCTATTCAAATTGCAGTATCACATCTGCATCTCAGGGTCCCAATTTCTAATAGGAAGAACAATGGTGAACGGGTTGCTAAAGCATGTGAAAAAGGAAGAAGAGTCATCCATGCTGTTCTTGGAATTAATGCAAAGTCGACTTCCATGAATGCTTTAGTGAGAGTTAATCTATACAGGAAAGTCATCATTCCATCAATTCTCTTCGGATGCGAACATTGGTCGCAAAACAACCAGACGGACATCCGTAATTTAAATAAGTTAGAGCATTACGCTGCCAAACATATCCTAAACTTAAGGAATGGATCGGTCAGACATTGCAGAGACCATATTGGGGATCCAGCGAATAGGCGCCACTATCGACCAACGCAAACTCATCTTCCTAGCACAACTGATTCACCTAGATTGACGATACATTGTAAAAAGAATATTTTTAGTCTGTCTATAAAGCTACATTATTGGCAAGGAAGACGGAAATACAACACAACAACGTGGTTTCATCCCGGATATAGTTGCAATACTTCACAAATACAACCTAAGATCCTATCTCGATAAGTGCCATCGAGAGTTCAAATTCACGGGAAAAGGTGAGTGGAAACAAGTCGTAAAGAGAGCCATTAGCCGTTTTGAAAATATTGCCTTAAGAACGAGGCTATCCAACGATGATGACTTTATTAGATTTAGACGAATTCATTCCACGTACCATCCCTATGTTCTGTTGGCTGCTTGCACATGTACGAAGCATATTGATTAATTAGAATGTGTAAATACTAGCTGAATATTGGTGGAAGCGCATAACAGTGATATGTGCGTGCGTGCTTGTGTGAGGAAGGGTGCGTTCGAGTGTGTGCGAGGATGTGTGCGTGCGTTTGTGAGGTGTGTTTGCTTAAGTGTGGGAGTGCGTGCGTGTATGATGAAGGACGCGTTCATGTGTGTGATGATGTGTGCGTGAGCAAGTCTGATAATTGGTGTGTGTGCGTGTATCTGCAAGGAAGTATGTGCGCATGTGTGATTATGTGTGCATGTGTGTGTGTGTGTGTGTGCAAGGGTGTGTTTGTGCGTGTGTGAGGATGCATGTGGGAGGGAGAGAATGTGTGTGAATGTTCACCTGAAATTTATATTCACTGAACTGGACCAGGGGAATTGTTTTCCTCAGTGTCTACTGTTATTGTAAATGTGTATATATATAAATCATGTGTTTCAATGTTTACATTATATGTTTATGTACAATTTATCTCCATATAGGGAGAAATAAAGATTGATGATGTAATATTGGAAAACAAATACTTCACATTAAAAAAGTTCTAAGATATACAATCTCTTCAGAAAAATAACACATAACTATAAATTGCTAAGGGTCTTAATGAAAGGTAACATTGCAAAAGGATTCTACTTTTAGATAATTAATAAATTGTAAAAATAATACAGATTTGTAAATTAAGAAGGAAAAACATAAATCCAAGTGAAGACTTTCTTTGATAGTGCCAGCACTGACCAGGTGTATGTAGATTTGCTTACCTGTGTGAAGAGTTCTACAGGCCTGGTCGTACCGCTGTGACAGAGGGGGCATGTCCCAGCTGTCTACACTAGCTTGGACCTGTCACAGAAATAAATAATAAAAGTCATCCAATTACAAAATTTAGTGGTTTACATTTTTTAAATCAATGGAATCAGAGGAAAATATGTGTTGTGGCAATATGTGGAATTGTGACAGGTATTTTTATAGGACCAAGCATTGTGGTGTACTGCAAACTGTCATTCTCCTATATCAAATATTTATAGCGATTTTTAATTCTTTATAAATCATGCTATGCTCCTAACAAGAATGTTTTCGTTATAAAAAGGGAGATAGCTCCATATCTAGTGGAGCTAGAGTAGTAGTTCTTGTGGACTGCATACTACCTGCACTGATATTCCATCAATGTTAGAGGTTGAACATGGCAAGATAATTTGGATTTTCCTGGTGATGACAATCAAATTTTCAAGATTCAGATGTTTTTATATGAGAAAACCATTTCAAAGACATAAATAATGAGTTTTCATTTTCCAAAGTGAAGCAGACGACAAGTCTGAAGGCAAAAAGCAAAAAATCTGACATGATTGTCTGGTTAATACAAAAACAGACTACATGCTATTTTCAATGTGGAATAATTTTTCTGATGGCTAAAAATTTCGACATTGTGGACAGTTCATGAAAATTCTGTAACATTTTCCCTTTCCTTTTTCTTTTAAAAAGACCTGATATCCAAGAAACTTTTGTTTGCTGAAAATTGGATTTTTTTGGGTAAAAACTGTTAAATGGTCTATGACAATATATTCCCTACTCACTGTGAAAGTAAATGCTCGGTGTTCTTCGAGTGAGTGTGTACCATGCAAAAACATTTTGTTATACAGTTAAATCTGCCACTGGACTTTTAAATACAGATCCTTTTAATGATATTGTGTGAAGTTTTGTTTGTGTCTTCTTTTTCATGTTTATGGCCAAAAAAAGCCACAAAAACATCATGCATATGAACCTTGATTTGACCCCTTCACCTTTGTTTTTGAAAGTCGTAACCTGATTTTTTTATCATACATGTCTAGTTTCTATTTGTTAATTAGTTCTCACAGAAACCCTTGCTTACCTCCTCATCTGCTGACAAGACGAGACTGATTGGGTCATCAGGTGCAAGGAAAGCCCCATCCTTTGTTGTGAGCGTGAGGAAGGGCCGTAGACCACATAGACTATAGTACCTCTGAGACGACTCGTGGGCCAGCCATCCAATAGTCTTACCCTCGCCACTGTCAAAACATATATAAAGGCTTACAATGACCTGTAGGCGAGAACAGCTAAAATAACTGAGTGGATAGGAGGGAGGGTTCAGGGGAAGATGGGAGAAGAAGTGACTTTTTTTTTTTTTTTTAGATGAGGCTAGTTGGTTTAAGAAAATAAGACAATATATTCTAAATTGCGAAAAAATGATGTTAGGCTCGTCTAGATTATAGGACATTCCAGCATATCAATTTTCCGATTTGGAGTAAAAAAAAATCAATCTATTATTCTACAAACCAACGGACTCATGGGCCTCAATGGTCACCTATGTGATACAATATATAAGTACTAGGTTGATCTAAAAAAGGAATGACGATGAATTTAGGTTTTAAATAAAAGCAGTGAATAAATCAAAATCACTGACCATCATATAAAACAACAGAATAACAATTTGACACATTGATAATCTAATTTGATGATAATAAAAGCATTGATCTGTTTAAAATTTCTAACCATCAGAATCTTGTTGAGCTATATTTTGTTTCTATAACAATCACTAGGAGCAATCACTAGTAGCTACATTTGGTTTCTATTGCAATCACTAGGAGCTAGGTCAAGTTTGTATCTCACCCATTAGGAGCTGGTACCAGTAGGAGTTTGTCCTTGACTCTGACCTTGACCCTCATAACCTGACCTACTGCTGCAGTTGATGCCAAATTCGAACTGACCCCACTGGTCTGGGAGAGAGGCTCTGATGGCAGGCTGGATTGTGAGCTGTCTGGCTGTCTGATCGCAAACTGAGTCATCCTCATCTGTCTTGGTTTACTGGTCATGCCACGTACGTCTGTCACATTGGGTGTGGACAGACCCGGTATAGATACCTGTGACAGAATATTAGGTCTACTAGACCTTGAAGTTCTCAAAGTAAGGGGAGGTAAGTCATCAGAGACATACTCCTCCTCATTTAGCAGCATTATGTCTTCAGTATCACTCTCCAGGTTTGTATTGTCACTAACACCATTGTCATTGCTCGTGTTTTGTGAACCAATCAGCCCGGTATCCATTAGTAAATCAGCATTTTCCACTGTCGTCTCCTCGTCACTTTCACTGTCAGAGTTTATAACGTTTCTTTTCTCCTTTTGTGAGCTCTTGTTTCTTATACCAGATGTTGAAAATACATTTCCTACATCGATCCTCCTTCGTTTCATTGGCTGAAGATCATCTATCAACCAATCATCATCAACGAATTCCTCTGCGGATATTAGGGCAGCAGTACTGTTGCTGTGGTGTGACTTTGTGGCGTGACTGGACTGATGTGATGCCTTACGCCGCCTGGCACTACTTCCTATCTGATGGATGGCCTGTCTGTAGGACTGGGTGGCATTGGAGGTTACCGGAGTTACTGGTGATAAAGGGTTAGGGTACAGCTCCTCACTATCATCATCATCATCTACTAGTGGTGGTGCTGGGGACGGCATCTTTTTTCTAAAAGTAACACAAATATTACAACACTAATAATAATAATAATGATATTTATTCAGGAAACGACATACACCACAAAACAATTTCACATATGTAGGTAATTTACTAAGTTGATAACTATTTATATATAATAGCCCATTAAAGCCATAGAAACTGTATTTCCAATGGATAATAACTGTTCAACTACATTCAGATTTGTTTTCAAAAGAATGGCCATTGACTTGAAATCATTAATCATGTTTACAATGTTATTGTGTGTATTAAATAATGACATTATAAACATGACTAGATAACATCTTTATTGTCTAACACTGACCCTAAAAAACACATCATCTATACAGTTATAGTACAGCCATGACACCTACAGTACAAGATAAAACTTGTAATTTTAGCGCCACAGGACATACATGGTCACCTGTTACACACAAAAGTGAGACATTTAATACAGGTCATTACATTGGATAAACTTTGTGAGCTATATCAAAATATAGGATCACTGAAAACAGTGGGTTTCATAAAAAAAATCTGTGTAACTATAAATAGTATGCTAACAATGACCCATCGTTTGTTTCAGTGATGTTCTAGACATCCGTTTACCCCATCTTTTTTACATACATGTTATGTCATAGCAAAAATCAAATAAATGAAATAATAATCAAAATAACTTACCTTGCAATATTTTCTGTATCACTATCACCAGACTCATCAGAAGACATAGTTCTCCTGAAATTAAAAGAATGCAGTTTTAGTAAGAGCGCATTGACCTTCTGTTACATATCAATCAATCAGCTCCATGTGAGAACATGATTGACATTTTTCATGTAATTTTAAAATAATTGATATTTTTCATATAATTGATAATTGATATTTAATTGACTAACATAGCCGCATTTGAATTAACTAAGCTTCTTTTACTTGTTTTGGTGTCACAAAGATACCATCTCGAACATGTTGTTAAGAAATGCTAAGGCCTAACAAAAAAATATGTTTGTTTCTGGTTACTTGACCTACCCTACTTTTACCGCGCGACCCTAACAATTTTATGGCAAAAAATCCAGAATTTCCGGATTTTTATTACCATTTTACAATTTAAACCCTTGTAACAATCAGGGTCATTTAAGCGATACAGCAGATCAGTGTATTCAAGCGCTCTTTTGACACAGACTGTGTTTATTGCTACGATTTGGTGTTCAATTTTGTAAAACTGGATTATTCTTGTGTGAAAGAGCCGTGTTTGTAGTGTTGGCCATTGTAGTTGGTGGATAATGTCTGTTACTGGCACTGGCAAATCTGTCTATAATGTAGTTTCATGGGTGATGTCTGCATTATCTTATTGTTTTGGTGTTCAATTTCATGGATAATCAAAATTTAAAAAAAATGTAAAAAAAATAATTCCTTTCCCCCTCCCCCTGTCCAGCATGTAACAGGACACAAACATATTTTTTTGTCAGGCCTAAGTGGAGTACTACAATAAAACTTGTGTTGGTGTACCTCATACTGAGGCTCTTTTTCGTTCTGGCCCTGACAGGTCTGGTGAGGGAACCAATGTCTGGTGAAGTATTATCTACACCCTTGGCCCTCCTCGACAGGAGAGATAACTGGGACGATAAGACCTCTGGAGATCTGCTGGCTGCTGGCCCTTGTAAGAAAATGGTTGATGTTTCATTAACAATGGATTTATGCAAAGTGCACACATTTTTTCCGGTACATTGTATATACAATACCACCCCCCCCCCCCCCCCCCCCACAAAAATAAAATCTTATTCCTTAAATAGTCTGGTTGTAGTACTTTTGAACATATATACTAGTTGAACTTCGAAGAGCTGTTTGAACGTGATTAAAGAAGTACTGAACATAGTTTTATTCTTATCTCTTAATATATGAGAGTATGAAATGTAACAAGAAGAATCTACTGTAATTTTGTACTATATTACTAGTCAAGTTTAATTATTTCTCTGATGTATTGAAAGGAAACATATGGCACTTAACCCATGCAAGCCAACAGAATACTTTAATAAATACTTAATTGTAAAGGAATTACATGCCTTTGCTGATATCTGTAAGCATACAAATAGCATCCGTTTGCGCATATTTGATTCATCTTACATAACAAACATAGACATTTCTGAATCCTTCTTGATGACTGGCAAATTTTGCTAATAGTGTAAATATAAACCAAATTTCATCAAAATCCACTCATATTTCAATTAGAGTTTTTGTGCTATCACTAATTCACAGAATTTGCTCAAATTCAAACTCAGCATTTGCCTGTCTTTTATATAAAAGTTTCATTAGAATCCAGTCACATTTGAGTAAGTTATTGTTCAGCTTTGTTTACCAATCAGACTACAGTATACTTAATAATTATGCAAAGATTTTCTCAACTTTGAACTTAGCGTTTCTTTCTGTAAACGGTAACCGTAATAAAATATTGACAAATTTTCGTCTTTGACTTGTCATATCTGATTATGTTATTGTGCAAAACTATAAACAATTAGCGCAAAGAATGTAAATTAATCATGAATGGAATTTGCTCAACTTACAACTTTCAGTCTTTTGATATTGAACATGCTTATTAAGTGTCATAAAAATTGAAAGATATATAAGCAAGTGCCATGTTGTGAAAACAGAAGTGAGGACAGACAGACAGCAGACTGATGCTCTCCGTACCATAATAGGTCCTGTCAAAATCACTGGCCAGCATAATCAATTCCACACTTAACTAAGTAAGCGAGCAATAAGAATTTGATAGTGGAGGACTCCTCTTGACTTTCCTTTATATCCCTGTAATAACGTATGCCAGTAATAATACTGTTTCACATCTATGTACCTCCACGGGCAGGTGAACTCAGCAATCTGTGTAGCTCCTCATAAGTCTTCAGTACATGGCTCTCCAAAGCATCTTCACATCTCTCCCTCCACTGCCTCAGACAGGACAGAGCTGTGTTACCCTGCATAGACAATAGAATTATCCTAACAGTCAAACCTGTTCATAACAACCACTCAGGGAAGTAGTAAACAAGAGGCGGAACATGCTATATTAAAAAACTTCTGAAACATTCTTGTATTGAAATGTATAAAAAAATGAAATGTAACAAGTAGAATCTACAGTAAGTTTGTACTATACATTGTATTACTCAATAAAGTTGAATTATTTGTGGGATGTAGTGAGAGGAGAAAACAACTTGTACTTTAATTACCCACTTAAACTTCAACCATCAAAACCAAAGACATTTCTTTGTTTAGTGTAAAAGTTTGATCAAGTTTCATCAAAATCCAGTCATAATTCATTAAATCATTTTGCGGAAACCATTGACCAATCAGTTTAGTGTGCCAAATAAATATGCACAGATTATGCTCAACTTAGCCTCAGTCTTTGTATACTGTCCATAATTTCTTACTTTAGTCAATATTGAAGGAAAGTAAAATGTAAATCAAATTTAATTTATGTATATTTTGGTTTAGTGACCTTTGCAAAATCAAATATGCTCTGTTAATTTTAGTCACATTTGCAGCATGGAGATTCGTATAACTGAGAAATCCAATAGGAAATTCTTTTGAGATTTAAATTTAAATTTTATAATATACTCGTATACTTCAATATATTGACCATTGTGAAATTCACTATCACTTTACTATCAAACATTGCCCAGTAAAACCTGCAGGTTATATTCTGAAGCAGAGAATTATATATTGATATGTAAGTTTCCCGTTCACTAGATATTCATTGCTCTGTACCTCATCATCCTTGGCCAGTTCGTTGGCCTTGTGATCAATCAAGACTCTCATCACATCCAGGTTGCCACAGTTGGCTGCATCTATGAGCGGGGTGACCCCTCCACAGTGCTGACCCCCGCGGTCATTGACTGCTGCTCCATGCTCCAACAGATAGCTTACAATCTCACTATGGTCATGGTTGGCTGCCTCGTGGAGCGGAATCCACCCACAGTAATCCCGTGGATTGACAGGGTGACCCTAGAACATACAAATTAAAAAAATCATACACACATTCAATGATGTGAAAAGAAATTGATTGTACAAATTTAAAAATATCTTTCTAGTTAAAATATCTGAATCGACACTGTGAATCAGAGCAGTTTTACCACAACATTCCCGAACAAGTTCTAGGCCTGCTGTATCCCGCTACATGTTTTGTCATAGGAGGCAACAAATGTTGGGCAACCTGCAGAATCTGGGGGGTTTCTTCTGACAAATGAAGATGTTGCAAGGACGTTTATTACCAAACAAAACAAATCTACCACAAGTTTTACTGTTACAGTTCTACAACAATGTACTTACTTGAAATTTGACCTTGAGGTAAATGTCAATATGATCTTATAATAGTAGACTGTTTTTATTAGAACCAGACAAGCAGTAAAACTGCATATTTCCTCTCATTTGTAATCAAGCAAGCTTTATATCTCTGTTCAGGTCCATCTAAAATAGCCAAAAATCTCAAAAATAGACCTGACTTAAAAATAGGTCTGCTCTGAAAACATTCCTTGCAGTTACAAATATGTATTGAGGGTAAGCAGGCTTCAAAAATAGTCTGCCTTGAAAATACCTCATTACCACGAACATTCTAGCTCTGTCGTTTATCTTTTAATCATATTATGTAATCTTCATAATACTGATTGAAAGATAGGTAGGTAATGAACTTGTCGTTTACCTTAGATATCATATAGTAACATAAATATCCATTTTGCATCTCTTACTAATAATTATAATGTTAAAATAAACAATTTTGATTTTTTTCATGCATAATGCAACCATCTGTTTGATTGTTTTGAAAATAATATGGACTTGAAAATAGGCCCGCTTTGAAAATACCATTAAAATTCCACACTACAAGAGAAAACAAGCTGCTACTTATTTTCTAGTTTTTAGGCCAATATCATCCAAAACTAAAATGATTATAGGATAGATAAGAAATATTACCAGATGGAGGCATGTAGCAGACATCCAGATACGTTCTAGATCTATGAATCGTATCAATTACTCGTCTCTTAAATTTCCAATTATGATATAATCATGCAAAATTGATAAAGTTTGTATTAATTCTACCAGATTATCAAAGAAGTATAGTCATTGCATATTTTTAAAAAAAAGGTAAATTTCATACCCATTCATGATAAATCTTGAATCAAATATTTAATACTTTACCTGCTCAATAAGCTTTTTCACTTTTTTCAGATTTCCTGATATGCAAGCTTTGTGTAAGGCAGTTTCACCCTTTTCGTTTCTCTGCGAAAATTGAAGTACAATTACATCAATTATACAGCAATAACTCTCTGAACATAACCTTGCATCAGTGATTTTATAAATATTGAAAATTGGGTGTAGTACTGCATCATTTCAGGAAAATGTACATTATACTAAGGTAAGCAAGATAACCTCTGAATATGTACATTACAATGTGTCTATGTAAATAATATTTGGTGTGTATTATATCCCGTGTGACCATCAATATGACCCGGAAAAAGATATAATAATCTGGAAGCATAAAAAGCTATTCGGATTGATATGATTGCCTATGCCTCGCTTTGACCATCAATGCACATATCAGAGAAACGCAAAAGTCAATGGACCATGAAAGGTAGGCCGCATCCAGCATTTGATGTATGTGCCGAGATGGACTACCTAAGATGCATGTATGGTGCAAGTTTGGTTGGTCTAGCACTTATACTTTCAGAGAAACTAACTTAAACGCAAAAACTTCATGTTGATGACTTCGTTGCGGTGAGACAAAAATGATATTTCAGTTAAATGTGATTATCTTGTGTTGTAATGTGACTACCCTGGCTGGACAGACTTACCTTTGTTGTCAGTCTCTTGGCTACACCACGGACTGGCACTGTTACCCTCTTTACAATATTTTCTTCATCGCTGGAACTATGCTCTAAAACCATTGAAATAGTCAGGGATGAAACTAGCCCTTAAGTTTGTTTACAATAAGCTAAGGCCATGGTTTTCTATTCTAAACAATATGACAGAAACTACTGTAGTCAATCTCATAACAAAAACAGTCATAATGTACTTGTAGTGCGTCTCATATAAAACAAATTCCTTCAGTGTTTTGGAAAATGGCAACTTCAACAAATGCTTGATTAAACAGTTTTGATCTGTAGAAAAGAAACAACACATCAATATTTGATGCTTTAAGAGTTTATATGACCATTTCCATATCCTACTACATATCAGTCCAAGACTGCCATATCAGCCCGAGGGCCGATATATATGGGTCAAAGGCTGATACAGAGTAAGACTAGAATTTTGTTTTTGAAAACAAAAACATATCTCTCCCCTTATTAGCCAATAGAAAAACTCTGGTATATAAACAAAGGGTCATTCATATCGCTTTATATAGTGGGGCCCCGAGACCCGAATTTAGAATTTGACATTCCTATTTACCCAAGATACATTAAAACTTTAGTTCAAGTTTGGTCAACGTATGTGAAACTAGAACACTGACAGGTCAGTAAGGGCCCCGTCTTGTGGCAATATATCCTCCATAATCATCAAGAAGCAAATCTGTCCATATAGCTGAGCTTGAAGTTTGACATTTGGACTTCATAATAACATACAAAAAATGTTCATCAGTAAAAAGATACAATATCTGACCTTGAAATTGACCCAGTGACTTTGACCTTAAGTCAGTTGACTCCTTGTTAAATTCTAACCAACTTTGCTTCATAATGTCATAACAAGATGTTAATCAGTGAAAAGATACAAAATTTGACATTGACCTTTGACCAAGTGACCTTGACCTTTGGTCAAATGACTCCTTGTTTAATTCTGACCAACATTGCTTCAAAGTGTCATATCAAAATGTTCATCAGTGAAAAGATACAAAATTTGACATTGACATTGACCTTTGACCGAGTGACCTTGACCTAATCTTCGATAGGGGCCCTAACAGCATGGAAGTTATGCTGTGGACAAACTTCAGTATTAAAATTAAACAAAGGGCCGTAACTCTGTAAATAGTGACGCAAGATACCTAATTCCAGTGCATTGCACACCTTCTGTGAGTGATGCAGGTATACTTTAAGTTTGATTAAGATATCTTGAATGGTTTAGAAGTTATGCCGTGGACAAACTTTGGTAATAAAATTAAACAAAGGGCCATAACTCTGTATATAGTGGGGCACAACACCTAGTTCCAGTGCTCTGCACACCTTCTGTGGGTGATGCAGATATACTTCAAGTTTGGTTAAGATATCTTTAAAGGTTTGAAATTTACGGGCCAGACAAGAATTTACTGAAAATGTGCATTTATTTGACCTTTGACCTTGAGGTGAAGGTTACAGTGACATAATTCCAGTGCGATAAAACACAATGAACAGCATAGCAAATCCAGCGAGTACACTACCAGTTTGGAGTTTGATTTTGTTGAAAAGGGTTGAACCAGAAGTCAGGCAGATATGGCATGTACCGGATGGGATGGATTGGTCCGAGATATGGCCTATGTTTAGCTAGCAGCATCACACATGAAAAACAACCCATTCACAGACAAGTATATGATAAAACATTCTAATCCTCATTGTCAGTCTCAATTGTATTGCTGTACCTGATTCGGTCAAGTCATCGATGCTAAGGTTGCCGTCATCCTCCGTATCATCAGACCTTTGTGAGTCACGCTCTTCCTCCGACAGCTCATCGTCACTAGTCACATTGTACTTGTCCTTCAACCGACGACACTTTTCTTCTATTTGTTTGGTGGACTGTTTATATGCTTTCTGGACCTCAACCAGAGACTTCAGGACAAACACCTAAAGAATAACATCACAGTAATTGTTTACAGGAACGTCAGAACAAACACCTAAAGTAAAACATCACAGTAATTGTTTACAGGAACATCAGAACAAACACCTTAAGTAAAACATCACAGTAATTGTTTACAGGAACATCAGAAGCTACGACTCCCACCCTTAATAGTGTGTTTTCACCCTTCAAAATGAGCGTTGACTCTATGGTTTTGAAGGACAGGTCAATTTAACATGCATTTTAACTCCCCAAAATTCAGGAAAAATTCAATTTGACTTGTGAAATTATTAAATATCTCTGGTAAAATTAAAGCCCTACCTAAAGTAACATGTCACAACATACACCTATGGTTAAAATTACAACATACACCTATGGTTAAATTACAAAATACACCTATGGTTAAATTATAACATACACATATGGTTAAACTACAACATACACCTATGGTTAAATTACCACATACACCTATGGTTAAATTACAACATACACCTATGGTTAAATTAAAACATACACATATGGTTAAACTACAACATACACCTATGGTTAAATTAACACATACACCTATGGTTAAATTACAACATTCACCTATGGTTAAATTACAACATACAGCTATGGTTAAATTACAACATACACCTATGCTTAAATTACAACATACACCTATGGTTAAATTCCCACATACACCTATGGTTAAATTACAAAATACACCTATGGTTAAATTATAGCATACACATATGGTTAAACTACAACATACACCTATGGTTAAATTAACACATACACCTATGGTTAAATTACAACATTCACCTATGGTTAAATTACAACATACCCCTATGGTTAAATTACCACATACACCAATGGTTAAATTACAACATACACCTATGGTTACATTACAACATACACCTATGGTTAAATTCCCACATACACCTATGGTTAAATTACAAAATACACCTAGGGTTAAATTATAACATACGCATATGGTTAAATTACAACATACACCTCTGGTTAAATTACCACATACACCTATGGTTAAATTACAACATACACCTATGCTTAAATTACAACATACACCTATGGTGCCAATAGAAACATCTTTTTTTATAATTAACACTGTACCTGTAGTTTACGATGTTTAGCATCTTTTGCACAATGAAAGCCTTTGACTAGAGAATCGCTGACAACATCATATTTATCTCCTCTCTGTTCCTGACATTCAGCTATGTTGATCCACGTTCGACACATCTGAAATGAAATTTAATAAAAAAAAAAAAACATATCCTTAGATTTTATTCAAAAGTAGATTTCAATTTATCCCTATCACCATAATTAGCCAGAGATATCCACACTTCCAATGAGGGAAAGTTATCTCTGTCTAACTCTAGGGTAAGGTATGGGGAATTCCCCTGTCATAACAATTGTATGACTTCACGTCAACGATAGCAGATCACAGATAACTCCAATTTGCTGGAAATTACAAAATCAACATTTTCATTTCATCATATGATTGGATGCGAGAGAAAAATAACCATTCCCCACTATAGGAAGAAGACAGACTTTCAGACAGAAAAAAATCAACAATTGGGGCAAGATTCCTATATATAAATGTATGGCCCTCAGTAAAGCCTTTGCCGAGACATTTAAGTCTTTCCCCTTGGGTTATTTTTTTCTTTCTTAACCTCAACGTGGGGAAAGATTCTAATAGTCTACAAATTCCATACATATTATGGGACCTGCAACTGGAATATAAACAGGAAAAAACAGGCATACTGATATATTGCAAAGTAGTGAATGCCAAACAGATTCAACAATTGTTTCCTCATGTATATAGCATTTCTCCTTTAATCAATTATGAACTTACTGTAATACTCAATACACTATCAAGGAAAATTAATGTAGTTGAAAAATTATGCAGCCAGAGGAAAACTCCAATTGAGAGAGGATTGTTATTATATAAAATTAAAGAAACTGTTCAATTAGAGCTCTATTTGAGCATCAAATCAGTAGTAACAGATCTATATCTGGCAAGTTGCGATAATTACAAACTGTATCTTGTTTACGTCATTTTAAGGTTGCCATGGTAAATAAAGTGACATAGAACAAACCTGCTCCTGGTCATCCTTGCGACACATCAGTTCTCTGTTATAGTACTCTATGGCCTGCGTGAACTGTTTATCATCGGCATACGTCTGGGCAAGAGACACGTAAATCGGGATCATCTCCTTCTTAGGTTTCTGCATGGCTTCTGCACAGGTCAACTACAAACAGTATAAGATCACTTACAAAAAAAAGGTCACAATCATATAACTGGTTTTTTTTTAATATTTCTTTTTAGGATAACATAGACTTGTTTCAATACCATTTTCCATTACCAACTTTCACAAAAATCCTTAAATACTTCTATAACCACTACACAGCCCTTTACCAAATCTGATCATTTTGAAATGTTACACTTGCCTTTTTGAAAGCCTAGAATTTATACAGGGTCCCCAACAGCCGTGTGGTAACTTTCATAACAAACAGGAAGTTACAAACCTTATTTGCATTGCTGTAGTTCTGTACCATATACTTACAAAAATTATGCGTAATTATACATGTATGTCTCACCTGTCCCTGCTTTGAGCATAAGATTCAATGTGTCAAACATTGTAAATTTGAACTGAAGTTCGAAATTTTACATTTTATAAACAAGTTTGGCAATACATCAACATGAAGGTATAAAAGGCACAAGTGCTAATTGTAATGGGAGCTGGCCATTACAGATGTCCCCCACACTAACCGTGCATTCAGAAAAACAAATGTAAATAGGTGAAAGGAAGTCATGTACATATCAAATATGAGCAAAATCAAAATACATGTGAATTTCGACCAATCATGCAGAAGCCATTATAATAAGACCGTCTTGTCAGATCAGAAAACGAATGCCACGGTTGAGTTCACTGTGCAAAAATACACATACACACAGATTTTTAGCGAAATAGAACAATAACTGAATTTCGACTAATCAGAAGAAAATATAAAGTGGCCATTTTGTCAATCAGAAAACGTATGTTGCGGCTGAGTTCGCAGTGCCAATATACATGACTTACCAAATTTGATTGAAATCCAACAATAACTGAATTTTGACCAATGTTTGTTGACTGATTCCGTTAAAACATTGACGTTGTAACCCTTAAGATGGTAATGATCATCCCAACTTACAGTCTAAGTTTAATTAGTCTAACACTTTAAATGTTTGAGATACAGCATATAACACACAGCTAAACATTCAGCATATAATGCATGATTTGAAATGAACTATGTCTCAAATAACTACAGTCTAAGTTTAATTAGTCTAACACTTTAAATGTTTGAGATACAGCATATAAAACACAGCTAAACTCAAAAACCTTAACATTAAGGAAGATGTTGTGAAAGTCACTGGACCGCAAAATGTAGACCACATTCATTATATCATGCATGGTTTATAATCCATGGGTTATGAATATAAGACGCATGTATGGTCCAAGTTTGGTTGGTCTATGCACTTATACTGTTGGAGAAACAGAGCTAAACACAAAAACTTAACATTGATGAAGATGCTGTCAAAATCACTGGACCAGGGAATGTAGGGCACATTCGGCAACTGATGCATGGATTGAGGTAAACTATATAATTAAGACGCATGTATGGTCCAAGTTTGGTTGGTCTAGCACTAATTCTTTTTGAGAAACAGAGCAAAACACAAAAACTTAATGTTGACGCCACCATCGCCGCCTGAAAAGTAACACCTAAGTCGCGCCTCCGCAACATCCATCGCAGGCGAGACAAAAAGAACCCCCAGGTCTTACCAATTTTATTGTATGCTATGGACTCAACTTTTAAAAAGACAAGAGCTGTCGGAGAACAGCATAGCTCGCCTATGTATGTTATTATAATACTGCAACTATCAATAGAAACACATGTATAGTAAAACGTTGATATAGTGCCTGTCATTTTATTTGCCACCTCACTTACCACCAGGATATTTCAAGGACCGTTAAATGTGAAGAAACATTTATGTAAAGTGATTGTTAAGAAATTAACTAATTCCAATAAAGCTAAAATATGAAAATATGGTTCAACACATTGCTAACACTCAATACAAATACTTCAACCTTATAATAGACAACAGCCTATTGATGATGGTGGTCCAACACTACCCAACAAAACTTGCAAAAACTTTAACCTCAAATTTAACTAAGTCCAATTAAGCTGTTTTTGGGCCATAAAATATGAAAATATTGCCCAGAACATTGCTAACACTCCATATAAATGCTTCAACCTTATAATAAACAACAGCCTATTGATGGTGGTTGTCCAACACTTCACAAAAAAACTTGCCCAAAAACTTTGACCTCAAATTTAACTAAGTCCAATTAAGCTGTTTTTTGGGCCATAAAAAATGAAAATATGGTCCAGCACATTGCTTCCTCTCGATATAAATGACTTAATCTCATAATAGACAACTGTGTATTTAGTGTGATGGACCTAAAACTTTAACCTCGGAAGGTGGGACGCCGATGCCGGGGTGTCATTAGCCCCCCTATTCTTCAAATAGGCGAGCTAAAAAGGCTAGTGCAAACAGTTAATATTGTTCTGCAAAATGAATTCATGTTTACCATTGAGGAGTAATACTCCAATGCTTGCTTGAAGTTTCCAATTTCAGCAGAGCAGTCCCCCATTGTTTCATACAGTTTTAGCTTCTTAACAGGTTCTCCTTCAGGCAAATCACTTAGTGACAATGAAGCATCTTCCATTTTGGACACTAAAATGAAAAACTAAACTGATCCACATGCTAATGACAGAATCAAACAATCCCTACTAAGTAGTTTAATCAGGATGTCTTTATTAAAACAGTATTAATGTTATGGTCCGGACAAGTCTTTACAAAAACTTATTTATATCTCACTTTAAGGAATTCCATGTACAATACATATTTTTGGGGAATTAAAAAAATAAATTTGTATGACCTTTTACAACATATTTTTCCAGTTTTGATGCAGTTTATAAGTACATCCTATGGGGGCCACTTTCTGTTCCAAGTCTAATTAAATGGCAAAAACCTTCCATATGCAGACAGTTATAATTTTATTCACTTTTTGCAAACCATTTACTTTTATATACTGACAAATTGGCTGATTATTGTAGATTACTAATATGAAAATCAATATTTTTCACAGAAATATCAACAAATAAAAATTGCATTTATTCATATTCCATTTTGCCATAAAATTCAAATTTTTGTACTCCATTTTGCATGGTAAATATTAATGTTGGAAAAAAATATTTGTATAGCAAATTATATCAGATATAGGTGAAAAACCACATCTATTTTCTTGTAAAATCTCTTTGCAACACAAAAAACATAATAAATCAGAATTTTACAGTCTGAATTTTGAAAAAAAAAGTATACATGTAGTTCCGACACCCCTACCCTCCCAGGTTTTACCAATGTTGTCCATTTTCGACAGTTGTCACAATGAGTTGTCTTGACATCAAATAATTGAAAGTAATGTTCTCAAAGCACCATAATTGTCTTGATACATCTTCTTACAATACAAAGATATGCATACATCAATCTCTTACTATGTCAATTTCGAAAAATAATGATATTATAGCCCCCATTGTGTTTTGTCAATTTGGTCAATCACGTACAAATCTAACGAGACCTGTCGCAAAAACAAAAGTAAGGGAAACTTTGTATTAGACTATATTAACCAAACATAACTAAAAAGGACTAACAATTTCACCATAAAAAGTTTTTTAGGGCGAAACAATTTAGTGCCAAACGACCCAGGGCGAACAGGATTTAGGACGAAATGATGCCCGACAACCATCTTTCCACCCTCAACGTTCTGCATGTCTACCTAGTTTCAAGTTGTTAAAAGGAGGACAATCGTCATTTTCACAAATCCCTTCCCCTTAACACACATGTCCACCGCTGTAAATTTTCTTAAAACAAACGCGCAAATAACGAATAGTCGCCATTTGTTTACAATTAGGGTTTCCCCAACTCACACGAAACACAATTCACACGAAAATTACGTCACGATTATGGGGAATTCCCTAATTTTATTGGTTAATGTGCTGACCCAAACTGTATGGCTTTTACAATGTTAAATCTAGGGTTGATTTTGTACATCTACCTGATATTTCAAACTGTTTTTATAAAACTCTTTCCAGTCTGACTATGTGCTGTAATATCTATTTATAGTATATCTGTCTAATGACCATAGCTTAAGTTAATAATAATAATGGCCATGATTCTGATGAAGCATAATAAGATTTATAGCACAAGTTTCTAAATTGTTCAAAATTTAGTTATTTTTCTTACATTAACATATACCTTTAGTTACTTTAACAGACAAGATAATTTCTTTGTAGTTAATAACTGTGAGGGGATGGTTTTATTAAGCAGCAGCCTATTTATTTCTAACTATTGAAAAAATTCTGCTGATATCAGTCAAACCTGCTTTGAATATCCTGAAAATCCTGTCTTTCTCCTCCTGTGTCAGAGCTCCAAGCTTGTAGGTTTTCTTTAATGCATGTTTACTGCTGTTGTAGTCTCCCAATAACAAACTTATCTACAACAGGTCAATTAAAACTCATCTACCACATCATTACAAATTCCTGCTGTTAAGATTGCATCAAATTTCAAATACAAACAATATCCTAAATAAGCCAAAAAAAAATTGATTACTTGGTTCTCAGGCCCGCGTGCATTTCATTTTTGGGCACCGCATTGGTGATTTTATCGTGAAAGTAATAAAAATAAAATTGTGAATGCGCCAGCTGCCATCTTAACAAAAAATCCGGAAAATTGGTCTGCATGTCGTTTTTACTCGCTAGTCACCCAAGTCCCAAAAACGTTTGAATAAAGATAAGGATTGATATATAGGCAAGCATTAAAATGATTATGACTAATTAGTCTTGTGTACAAATGGCGCTCATTTCGGTACAAATAAGGAATGGGGGTTCGTGATTCTCGTCTGGAACATCGTGGGGGGATTTTCGGAGGCTTGCTCTATGACGTGTCTCTACACAACTATAAAAAGACAAGGTAATGCCCACAATGAAGGTTTTACAAACTACACAATAACAAAAAAATCGCCCTTGCCTCGTTTTTGCCATGTAAAATGTAGAGAAAAAAAATACCTCCCAAATATTCATTAGATCTTATAGCAAGTGTAATGTTCTTCTAATGAAACAGCAAGGCAACACTATCAATGATATGACATGTCACCTTAGTTGGTGATTTTAACATTTCCTTACTTATGTATCTATGACTTATTTACAAACTATGGAAAGTCACTTATTCATAACCAATATAGGCCTATCAAGGTTATGATTTTAAGAAGAAGTCCTAAGAAGGGCTTGTTCTATGGCAAATCAATTGGCCTTTTGAAAAATTCACTGACCTTGTCAAGTGGTTAAGTGACTCCTGGAGTCCTGGCTCAGTCAAAGTAAAACAATCCTCTTTATATCCTACAACTATACCATTCTGAACTTACTATAGCTTTTTGTGAAAAGACTTCACTCTCCAGAGATTTATCCTTGAGTTTTATGGCAGACTTGTGTGCGGCCTCCAGATAGCGCTGGGCTTGGCTGAGGTTACCTCCCCTTTGGTACATGCTAGCTAACGAGACCTGGCATCGATACAAATCACTATGCAGGCTGTGCTTTCTACAAAATAACAACAGTTTACACCTATATAAGCATAAATCTTACAGAACTGTTACCCTATAAAGCATAGCATTCTTGATAAATGATGATGGTTAAAATCATACAAAATTACGCTAAGATTTTCAACGCATTATCATTTGCAGGTCCACATGACTTTATCTCTATAAATGTTCCATTTGAAAGTTTATAAACCAGCATGTCTGCATTTATAAATAAACACCCTTGTTGTTTATTCAGTCTAATGTATTAGTATGAAATACATATAAATATTTCACACATACCTGATTATTGTTTTTTCATGAATTATCAATATTAGGCCTAAATATATAACCGACAGTCAATGCAAAAAGCCTATCATTGCAGTGTTTGCACTAAATATCCAGACCATTATCAGCAAGGAAAAAACCAAAATCACATATGCAAAGGACACATTTTTTCTTCAGGTTATTTCAATTACATTCCGAGGTGTTACCAGATTAGATGCCACTTTTGAAAAGGCTATTGTCAACACTGAAGGCCAATTTGCAATCTGTCTCCTAAATCACTGGCTTAATAATAGGACATTTAGGTGTATTACTACTGGCTATCTAGTGGAGCCGACTTCATACATACTGTGATATACTGATAGCTTTCTTCATGAACTCTGCACATTGCTGGAGATCACCGGAGCTGTCAAACACTAGACCTGTAAAAAACAACACAACATATATATAAATTTACAGAAGAACAAAATTTCAAAATATTGTTAGATCACAATTAAGCACAAAACTGTTGATCATATGGACAGTTTTAAGATATTTCTCTTTAAAACACAGTTCTTGTCAAAAGATCAGCATCAAATTATTTCATTTTGTGATGAAATTTCTTCTACTCAGTATTTTAACCGTATTTCAGTCTCATGTTTTCATAACTTTATGAACAAGTATTGAATAAACAAGAGGTTAAAACGTCCTTGGTATCATTCACCTGTTATTCAATGTATGTTCATGGCAATGGAATGTTTTAAATAAATGTTATGAATTCAGCTGCATTGCATCAATTTAAGATCACATTTATAACCTGTCAGTAAACTCAATGCAAAGTTAGGTAGGAGGGGGGTTCAGTATTTCTTCATGCAGAATTAACTCTGTTGGTCCAGGCATGCTTGATACCAAATTAGATTCAAACTTTAGGATATGAGCCATATTTAAAGAGAATAAACACTCAGTTTTCTCTTTTATGCCCTTCTGCTTCCAATTAACTAAGCAGTAGTTGATCCCCTTAACCTATAGGTGTGCATTACACCAATTCAGTCTTGAAATATCAAACCTGAGCAAATATCTCCAGTCAGACAGTCTGTGGCCAGTTGGTTTGGTCTGCAGGCAGGTTAGGTTATGTCTACTTGCCCAATATACCAGACAACCAGTGTCTTTTTTTTTTACTGAATATAACTATAATCACATCATACCGTTTTCACTACATATCAAATATAAATGTACAAACAAAACAAATTTCTGTTTAAAAAAACATTTTGAATGCATATACTATAACCCGTACCTGTATGTAAATTATTTTGGGGTCGGTGTAATTCACCTCTAACTCCAGGCTAGTACTTTTTCAAATCAACTTGCCCCAATCAAGGTTTTAAGTACTCTGCAGACAAGTGGTAAGACATGACTTTCATTAATTCAGCTCGCAGAGAATACCAATCCACAATGAACAAGTACTTCCCTTCAAAATATTTACCCTATTTTGAACCACATTATCTGTCCCCAGTGCCCCATACGCTTCAGTTATACAACACTGTAACCTTTTAGTCATATATATGATATCACTTTTATTGTTTACTCTAATTTTGATCAAATTTTTAAACAGACTAGCACTAGTATCTAGTACATAGAAAGACTTACCAAGATTGAGGTACAATCTCGCCTTCATCTCCATGTACTCCACATTTTGAACAGAGCTCTTGAGTTTTTCACACACCTCCAAACTCTTGAAGAATGCATCCTTAGCACGTTTGATGGACCCTTCTCTCACACTTTTCCCTTTTGACGTTTCAATCTGAAACAAATATGTTCTGCCAATGGTGGCCCATGCCCTCTGCTCCTCCAGTAGGTTCTGACAGGACTTTGCAAGGTTGAGATGGCGCTGCTGAAGCTGTAGCGCCTCCTCATACCTCTCCTGTCCGCAGTAGCATTCTCCAACCTTACGACATGCTACAGCACATCCAATTCGGTCATGGAGAGCTTCATGGATGGCGAGCTCAGCCTCATGCTCTACAATGGCTTCCTCATACCTGGCTGAATTGATACAAAGAAAAATAATCATAGCTTACAAGATTTAAAGCTTAATTTAGGTTAATTTATCCATTTTTTTGTGTATTTTTTTTTTATATTCTTTTTTTTTCGCAATATATGTAATATGGTATAATTACAATCACACATTTCATATTATATATTCATACTTCACACGACTCATATAAACTCTTACTTATTACATCAGTTGATATACTTGACGCCAGTACATGTAATGGTACACATTAATTTATTCATGTTTTATTTACATTATGTATTAATAGATAATACTAGCATGGAACATCTTGCTGTAACAAAATAGCAATACATGTACTATAATATAACGTTAAGTTGCTAAGATCTACAATACCTCTACAATAGAGGACATTTAAAACACTAAAGAAAAAACAAGCACACAAGACCAGTAATTAGTCCCTACTTATGATCACATTCAGACACATATATAGAGGGTACAATGTACCAGGTGATTCTATTATTATACTAACTTTGAAATATATTATCTTTTACTAAGTTTGCCTAAAAACAAAAAGCTTGTGTTTGAATCATACTAATTCATAAAATTCAGATAGGTCAAACATACTTACCACTTTTAGCTAATATCTCTCCAATGCAATTACACAACACAGCTACTTCCCTCAGGTTATTATTCCTTTCTGCTTTTCTTTTTTCTCGTTGCAGTTCTGAAAAAAAATAACTATGTAATACAGTGTTGAAATTGTGCTCCATTATTTAATCCCCCTATTGTACATGTCTTACCTTCTATCATACATACAGTATGTTAATCCATATAGTCAATTAATTTGTTTATTGCCAAATCACAGCATTTTGCCCTGCAGTAAGGTTTAAATTTTCTAAATAATTCAGCTATCAGTAATCACTGCAAATTCTTCTCATTGAAATGGATTTATTACCATACGATATTTTGATTCCCTGGTCCAAAAATTTGCAAGGGTGATGACACTTGGATTAATACCGTACCCTATGTATTGGGCCTGCAGGTGGCACCCCTCTGTGGGTGGGAAGATTTCTGTGGCCAGGAAACAATATTCAAACTAGTGTTTACTCTGTACTGATCTAGTAAACCTTAACAAACTACTTGTAGGATTATGTTCATGCAAAACATCAATGTGAAAATAATGAGTCCTACCATTATATTATTACAAAAGTTGCATAAAAGTCCCCCAGGAAAAGTGCAAATTCACATATCTGTGTCCCAAAGAAATACTGTCTCCTATACCTTATGGACTAATATTATTAGTTACACAGTTTGTTAGTGACCTAATACGGAAAAATATTGGGTCTAAAAGAAACTTGTATCGCCGAGCCCGATACAAGTTTCTTCGCCGAGCCCGATCCAAGTTTCTTTTAGACCCAATATTTTTCCGTATTAGGTCACTAACAAATTGTGTAACGAATTTATCCCGTCGAAGGCCCTTTGGTATCAAACGACGACGACTTGTATTTCTCCCCGTCTGGTTTACGCACGTCCATATAAAAATGGCCCAGAACTTCCACAAGTCTCACCTCATCAAATGACTCGATTGCGGTATCTTGGCACATTTCTGTCAGATTTTCCGTTAAAATTCTCGCCGACTTTTGATTAGCCTTGATAGTGTTGTCAGCATTTACTTTTACCCGCTTTGTTAACATTTCATCGGCTGTCGTCTGCACAAACCGCTTGGTCGCCATCTTGTTACAAGTTGACTCTTATGGGCAAAGAACGGTAACTCTTTCGTACTCACCTAATGTGAGATTCTACTGACGTAATATGAAAATATACTGGATATCATGTGACGTCGTTTTAACCAATAGGACAACAGGATTTTTGCCTGAGGCGGGATATAATTATATATGCATACATATAAGGATGCAGAATAACAAATTTGAATCAAATGTAGCCTGAGATTTCTCTGGCCCTAATACCAGACTTGAGACATTCTGGCAAATAGATGTCCCACACCCAGACATCTATCTGTCCTTACAACAGACTTATACATTCTTACAGATATCATACATGTAGATGTACATGTCCAACACCAGACATCTGTCTGTCATTCATGTCAAAGTCTGGTTTACATGCCAGGGCCAGAGGAAACTTGGGCTAAATCAAATGTTACCTAAAATATGCAAGTAGTTATATGTTGAAATCTGTCAATTTGATAAAACTTTTCTGATAAATTGGAGTTGAGACCTCAATATTTCCTTTCGAAAATCGTCCTTCCAATCCAATATATGTATCTTTATCACAATCCAACCCATGTCAACAACACAGTGCATGTGTAAAGTGTATACAACCACTTTCTAGTGCAAACTGACTAGCACTGAACCAAACGTGTCACCCTGGTAAAATACTAGCCACTTACTACCGTTTCGGCTAGGGAGAATTTCTCTTAATTAGCTCATTGGGTAGAGCGTAAGACTAGTAAACCAGAGGTCCCGGGTTGGACTCCTAGCGGAGGCATTGTAAATGTATGACCTTGTTACATTGGTGCCCATGTATAGGGACTCGGGAGATATGACAAAATTATTCGGCGTTACTTGCAAAGAAATCGTTATGACCCCTAGCATACGGTGGAAATGAATTTAAATATATGGTAAGGCGAGTTGATTTAACTCGTAAACTTAATATTGAACATACATATCGCGCTGAAAAGAAAGTTCTACTAATGATGTTATGTATTAGGACAGATTCTTGTCGGGCCGTGCCTTCACAAGTGTTAAGAGAAAACGATTCTTGAAACACGAACAGACGAATGGCCGATGAAAAGTTCAAATCTATTTTTGCAGTTATAGTGGCGTATATGTAACACACCAAATACTTGTAGGACTAAACACTTTTCAATCTTAATGTGATGAAAATATAACGAGTTTTGGGAAGTACTTTAGGATGTTAGATAGACGTAGCGCGTAGGGATACATAAATTATCAAGCAAAAAACGAATTGAATCAGATTGCAAACATGGTACAAGTAAATGTTCAGGGACTATTTGGTGCTTTGAATAGTAGCCAGAAGTAATAGGAAAACATTTTTCTCTGTCAAACTATCATATTTTTTATCTTTCATGTTAATGAACTTTTCATATTACTACCAGGTACTATGGTAAAATCCTTGCTTTTAATGTGAAATGTATTTTTTTTACAGGTCATGGAACGGGAACATTCCATGCCACAGAGCTATATTGACAGCAAAAAAAAAGGGCTGGTACATGTTCTACCCAAGAGTGAAATCGCTTGAAGTTAAACTTTGCCTAATGACCAAATATGGAAATTGTAGTAAACATGGCGGCATCAGTAGTTATACTATATTTGGCCATGCATGCAGGCCATATATTATATGTGTTATCTAAGTCCGTGGTTTAACCGATAGTCGATTCGATTAACTAGCAGAGAACTTTTCTATTGATTGTCCAGTAATATTTCAAATTGTTAAACATGTATCAGTTGCATCTATCATTCTATGACATGTTGTGGTAAAATATTCCACTTGTCTATGACACTGGAACTAAAATGCTTTGTATCATCTTGTTTGATCATACATAGGTAAATGTACTGAAACGACGTTATGCTGCGATGCCGTCAAAAGTCTTACACTTAATTAATAAGAAAACCCAGTGGAGGGAGATCTCCCACACTGGACTCCTTAGAGGTTGGCAACCCTGGTCTTCTGGAACCGGGTCATTTTACTAGGAGGACAAACAATGTGAAAAATTTAAGATTAAAGTGATTTTCGCTATTTTAATAACAAATCCATACCCCTATTGGCGTATAATAGGCGAGTTTTCGTATTATACGCAAGTAAGTGGTTTTCCCCCGACCTGTTGAACCTGCGATTTCTTAATTCCTAGTCGGACGCTCTACCACTAAGCTTAAGGGAAATGTCCACTAGTAACTTAGAAGCTAGAAGGGGACCATACTCATATGTACTATTATAATCTGCCACAATGTTATATAATGACAGACAAGGCTAGTACCTGTGGTACACAAGAGTACCGAAACGTCTGTACTATACACGAGATAAAAGTTAAATGAAATTTACTTTCAACTTCTTTCTCATCAGCAGGATTCATAGTGCAAATAACATCCTCCCATTGGAATCAGTTGGAATCAAAATCAATGAGGAGTGTGTGGAGGGGGTTCTTTCAGCTTCTCATCGGATACGATATGTGCGAATCATCTCCTCGCTTAGGAATCAGCCCAAATTTTCAGCTTATTAATTCCAGAGTGATGTTTACTTCCAATTTCTATCTTGTTGTCACAGTCCTAAAGGAACGTCAAAAATCCTTCGTTGTCAGAATCCAATATTTTCTATCACTTTTGTTTTTTCCCGGGATATTGAGCAACGCATGCGCGACGAAATGGTCGGAAATTGTTTGGATCTCTTCAATGTTTGCATCCATAGCTGCGATATAATACAGACACAAGCATGTAATCGAGTGCGAGGAGAAAATGCCATAGGACTAATCAAGTTATTTTACAGGTACTAATCACAATTTGGTTTCCTATGTTTGCACGGGGTACCGGGTTGTTTCGCCCTAAATCCCGTTCGCTCATAATCGTTTCGCGTTAAATTGCTTCTCCCTATTTTTTCCTAGTAACGACTAACGTTTAGTTTGTTGTGGTTTTCTCTTGGCCGCTTTCGTTTATCGTGATCCGAATGGTTGAACCGGGTTGTTGGACCAGTGTTGTCCAGTTATGAAATAAGGTCGGACTAGTAATCTGATGCTGCCTTCAGACGAGCTATGATAAAGCCTTGCATGGCCTGCATAAACTTTTTCAGATACGTCAGGATTTACACCCGAAATATTACATTTAAAAATAGACAAACCGGTTGTTTCAGATAAACTGACATGTCCTAGCCTAGTCATCATGCCGAGTAGTGACTATGTACATGTGTGCAATGCTGAGCCTTGTGCAATTCAAACTATATGCAGGGCGAAGTTATCTATGCAAGCTCTCTCCTAGCTGCAGCCTTAAAGGCATCCAGGACCTCCTCAATCATGGCGACGCTGGGAGGCAGGAGGTTCCATAGTGTGATGGTCCGGGGGATATATGAGTGTCTGTATGCATTGTCCATTGTGTGTGGGATGTAGAGTTTGTAGGGGTGGCTGTTCCTGGTCGTTGTGATAGTTGAGTAGGTGGGGTGTGGTAGGTGATGGGTACTGCACGCTACACTGTGATGAAGTATTTTGTGCATAAAGATGATGTCCATTGTTTTGCGTCTGTTTTCCTGTTTTTCCCATTTTAGATCCTTGACCATTTATGTTGTATTATCTGTGTCTGGTTTGTTGTAGTCGAGTGGTTTGTGGAGACGAATCTTGATGAATTTTCCAGACTTGCTCTATTTTATTGATGCTCTGTGATGTATGTGGGTTCCATGCTGTGCTGCTTATTCTAATTTCTGTCTCACTAGGCTTTTATATGCTCTTTCCTTGACTTGTTGTGGTCAGTGTTTTAGATTCCTCTTCAAAATCCAAGTACTCTGTTCACTTTGCAGATGATGTTGTCTATGTGAAGTTGGCTGAAAGTTCTACTACTCCTAGGTATGGGTCGTGTCCTACTACTTCTAGCGTCTGTCCTTGCATTTGATATTTGTACTGTTGTGTTTTGTTCTTGTTGGTGACTTGCGTGATGGCACATTTTTAACATTGAATTCCATTTTCCAGGTGTCTGACCAGTTACATAATGTGTTGAGGTCTTCTTGTAGTTTGGTCTGGTCTGCTGGTGTGTTGATGGTTGTGTAGAGTTATCAAGATCTTCATTTATATTTGAAGGTTTGTCAGGTTTTACCCCTGAAATATTACTTTTAAAAAATTGAAAAAATAGCTTGGTCCTCATAAATGGACAAGAATTCAAGTTGTTACTGTACCAGGCTGTTTCGGTGCTTAAGGTTCAACTAGCCCCCTAAAAGATGCTATGGTCACCCTAAGTTTCAACCTCCTGGTAATTCATCTTCAAAGAACCTAATTGAAAATTAGAATATATACATACATGTATGTAATTTAAATATATTAACCCTGTACATTAGCTATTAAATAAGGAATTGAGGCTGATATCTTCAAAAAAATAGCTCATCTGACTTATACCATCTCAATCTCTTCTTTGATCCAACTGAATGCTACAAAATGACATATTCTTTAAAGTTCATTTATTTGTCTAGGTCATGCAGAGCTTAATTTCTCTTCAATTAGCTGTAGAGAGTCATACCAGCCTCAAAGTAAGACAATTGTGGCTATATGGATATGAACAAAAATCATAGTAAAACATCAGAGTACCATATTTTACTGGTATATATGTGTAAAACAATAGACCTATGACCTTACAAAAAATTACATAAACTTTATATATTTAATTATAAAAGAGTCCTTTCTTAACATTTAATGTTGTTATACAAAAGCTAGACATGTTTTAAACTCTGATGGTTATTGGTTATAATTCCCAATTCGGGACAATGGAGGAATTGTTCTGTCAGCTTTTAAAGGCTAAGTTGATGGAAGTTTATCAAATCCATTAAGCTCAGTTAATGTGGGGAATACAGGCACCAGAATACATCTAATGTTGCAGACCTGTTAAATCAAGTTTAATTAATATTAAACAGGTGGCCTCTAAAAAGAAGACATGACACGATACTAAATGAAATCATAATGATTATTTAACCCAAGTATGTTGCAACACAAGAAGCACAAATCAAAAAAAAAAAATTCAAATCCCTTAATGTAAAACATACATGTATGGCTGCCATAGCATGCTGCAACACACACTCATTCTGTCCCAGAATTTCAGTTGACTTTAGTTTTAGTTATCAGTATTTAGATGTCATGACAAACCTAGCTTGTTTTAGATGGTTTCCTTATATTAACTCGAAGCAGTATGAATTAATTAATTGCTCAATCAAAAACAAAACAACAAAAATGTCATGAATATACTGTATCTTATGATCTTATTTATCACATTTCAAATGCTTCTGGATGGAGGATGTAACTAGACAAGTTATATATACATGTACCTTCACACAAAATCATTGGCCATTGCAAAACAGAATAGTTCAGATTGGAAAAGGACCAATAAGTTTCTTCTTCAGAGTGTTCTGTTCAGTGTATTGTCATTTCTTTTTCTTTCTCCAGTTTCTAAATGAAGTTCTCTTCTTTAAGGTTAGAGGTTGATCAGTTTAAACTGGACAAAAATTGACAGCTTTTCCACAACCCAATCCCTCTTAGTTGTGAAGGGATGATGTTTGGACCATGAACTTGGTCTCTATAAATTAAGAGAACACAAATATTAAAATAAGTATGTTGTTCCTATTTTTCAGGGCACAATGGACAAAGCAGGCAATTCGACTGTATTGGATTTCAACACTGTGAAGGTGATCTGTAATACCCTGGAAAATGTAGTGAAAAGATCCTTTGGCCCTCTAGGATTGCAAACTTTACTGTGTACTGATACCGGCCATTTGGTCGTGACTAATGATGGACTAACCATATTAGAATCACTACACCTGTCACATCCTATTGCCAAATTGATCGTCCAATCACTGTCAAAAACAGTACACTTTACTGGGGACGGAAGTAAGACATTTATATTGTGGCTGGCAAAATGTGTAAGTGATATGGAAGAGGAAATCTCACTAAACAGTGCACAGAGAATGGCAACAAGTGGATTGTGTTGTAGTGGGGAAAGTAAGTGTAGATTACAAATAAGTAGAGGGCTTAAAACAATTCTCCCAGAACTTCTGAAAGGTATTGTTGAATATGTGTGGGACCGTTCAGCAGTATGTAGATGTAGAAAGAGAAAGAACCAAGTCATCTCCTGCTCAAGAAGGATAATTCACACAGTCTTCAGACCACACTTTCCTCAGAACGTTTCAAATACTTTCACAGATCTTTTATGTAAGATAGTGCAGTTTGAAAACAATAGTGACATCAAAACATTTCTTCAGTTCTTCATTGATAACATTGAAACCCTGTGTATCAAGGTACCCAACCAACCATATACATCCTCAACTTTAATTGAGTCATTTGTTATCCAGCGAGAATTCACAGTTTATTGCCCTCAGACTTTGAAAGGGAATGTAAAGTTTGTGCTTCTTCGATGTTTGATTGGTCAGTTGAATACAGAAAAGGAAAACAATGAGAAAATCAGGCTAACAAGTTCACAAGTGATTGGTCAGTTTTTACAAAACCAAAAGAAACTGGTTAAAGATTTCATCTGTGTATGCAAGCAACATGAAGTTACCCTTGTCTTAAGCACAGAAAAGGTACCAGACTTTATTCAAGCCATCTTTCAAGCTAGTGCTATTTCTCTTGTCCACTTTGTGTTGGATGAGGAAGCTGAGTTCCTGGAGACCAGTCTTAAGATACAGCCAATCACTAACCTATTTGACTGCATCGAAGAGCAAAATATCGGTTTATCAAAACAATGTAATGCGTTGACAATAGCCAGCCGTAGGTGTGTACATTTGAACCTCCCCGAGCTGCCTCACATGTTGCTGGTATGTGGACTCTCGGATGGACTGTGTAAGCAGGTATTGTTAGCCTCCATCAAAGCTCTGAAAACACTACTACATTATCACCAAACTGAAGACTTGATATCCATCGTCACTCAAGGGGAGACAACTAGTCAAACTGGCTTGACAAAGGTTAATCATTTGTGTGCTGCTGACGCGACTGAAGAAAAATGGGAACATTCTTCAGATAACAAGGAAAAAGTAGAAACAGCCACCACAGGATGTGTTAGTTTATGTGTTTGTAGGAACTGTGTGCCAGGCAATGGTGGTTTTGAGTTCATGGCTGCTAAATACTGCCAGGAAAGGGCAAAGGAAATGAGGACAGCAGATGTAGGGCTGTCCACCTTATTACAGATTATCTCAAAAACCTTACTTATTGTGCCTCAAACACTGCATGAAAACTCTTGTGGATCTCAAAGAGACATGGTCAACTTTATTGCAAAACAAAAGTCTGTTTTTGAAAAATTAGATCAAATGGAGAAATGTGGTTTGAAGAAGGATATTTTGACACCTGTTTTTGACCATAATGCTGAAGAAAGTCTTGAACCTCTCAGCAGTAAGGTTCATATGTTTTCTACGGTCATAGAGTTACTACAGCAGATTGTAAGGGTTGACTCTGTTGTTGGAGTAAAAAGTATTCATATATAAAACCCTAGTTAACTGTTGCCTTTCTACTTGCTGATTTTTCATTTAAGACAAAATAAAGAAATCTTTGTTTCCCAGATTTATTTTTGCTTTTTTAACAATTGTCAATATAAAGATAGAATAAGCAGATTCTATGATTTGTAAAAGAAATATATGTTCTGCTATCTGCTGGCAATGCAAACTCAATGTCATTATTTTTCAGTTCACCTCATCTAAAAGCATGTTCAGGTGATCTAGTGCCGTCAGACCTATCTACAAAACATAGACAAGTTGGGCAATGAAGGGTTTGTGCATTGTGTCATCTTCATGACAAAATTGACTCATAGTGTGCCATTTCTAGAGTGATGGAGTGGGGCTGGTAATGAGGGAAATAAAGGTAAAGTTTGGACTATGTATGGTTTGGGCCTGTTTTGGCCCCCAAATGCATCAACATTCAAAACCTTTAAATGAAGTTTGAAATGACTGTTTCTTTAATTTCGAATACTTCCCAAATTCTATTATGAAAATATTGATTCATATTTCTAGTTATTGTTACCATGGTAACAAGTTCAAATTTGCATAAATTAGAAAATTTTGAATATTCAGTGAATATTGTGATATTTTGCATAGTTTTTCTCCTAGAACCTATAGAGCGCATGCTTGAACAAACTTAACATCAAAGAATAATGTGTAGGCACCTGTAATACATCTTTAGGAGAAATATAAAGTTTGTTCAAGAGTGCGCTCTATGGTAGCTAAGAGAAAAACTAGGTGAAAACCTGTCAAAATTGACTGAATAGTCAAATTTCAATAATTTATGCAAATACGACCTGGATACCATGACAGCCAAAATTGAAAACACAAATAAATGTTTACATAATAGTACTGGGGAAGTATTCAAAATTAAAGAAACAGTCGTTTGAAAATTCTATTGCAGATTTATAATTTTGATGGATTTGGGGGCCAAAAATGGCCCAAACCATACATAGTGTTGTTCTGTATGTTGCACTCATATCGATGCATGGTGTGTATAAGCCATTCGTTAAAGGATTGAACAGCACTTTTTTTTACTTATTATTGACCCAAATACAGATATTCCCTAATATTTCCGATATTAAAGTGTTCAAACGATATTCCTGGAACAGCCTAACGTCATCAAAATGTTTGCTCCTAGCTTTGAAATGACGCTGGTCATAGCCCTATGTGCGCATTGTTAGCTCACCAAGTCCGAAGGACCGGTGAGCTGATGCCATGGTGCAGCGTACGTCCGTCCGTCAACTTTTCCTTTAAAACACTACTACTCCTGAAAGGCCCAGTAGATTTTGACTAAATTTGGTCTGGAGCACCCCTAGGCCAATGGCATCCAATTTTGTATAAACGGTGGGTGTGGCCTTCCTGGGGGCAGAGGGGCGGGGCAGAATAGGAAAAATAGAGGAAAAACCTTAAAAATCCTTCTTCTTCTACCGTAGGGATTTTGTAGACAGAGGGGCGGGCCTAATAGGGGAAATAGAGGTAAAACTTTTAAAATCCTTCTCCTACCGTAGGGATATAGGGATTGTATCCAAATTTGGTATGGAGCATCTTTGGGCAAAGTGGACTCAATTTTATATAAAGAGGGAGTTTGGACCCCCTGGGGGCAGAGGGGCGGGGCCCAATAGGGAAAATAGAGGTAAAAGCTTTGAAATCCTTCTTCTACCATACGGATGAAGGGATTTTATCCCAATTTGTTCTTGAGCATCCTTCGTGCAAGGGGACCAATTTTGTATAAATTGTGGCTGTGTAATCTTGAAATGCCATCTACTGTAGGGATCAAGACATTTTATCTGTATTTAGTCTGGAGCATCATTGGGTCCAAGGGACTCAATTTTGTATAAATTGTGGGTGTGGCCCCCCTGGTGACAGAGGGGTGGGTCTGAATACAGGTTAAACCTTTCAGATCCTTCTTCTACCATAGGGATTAAGGGATTTCATCCCAATTTGGTCTTGAGCATCGTTATATACCGGTTATAGTGATGTACCGGTTATCGTAATGTACTAGGTATCGGGATGTACATGTTTACGCGATGTACCGGTTATCGTGATAAACCGGTTATGATGGTGTAACTATCGTGATGTACCTATTCTTTTGATGTACCGGTTATCGTGATTTGTATGTACCTTCTATATTGGTGTACTGGTTATCGTGATGTACCGGTTATCGTGTTGTACCTGTTATCTTGGTGTACCGGTTATCGTGATGTACCGGTTATCTTTGTAATCCGGTTATCGATATCTTACCGTTAACGTTATCACGTTGTATTTGTTATAATGATGCCGTATTTGACCCGTTACGGAATCAGAAACATTTTTTGTCAATAATGAAGAAACAATTAAAACATGAATATTTGTCGATATGAAACTCTATACGGAACTGAGATAAACGTTGGCATTTTCTTTCGGAAAGCTTATGAAAAGTAAAGTTAGTTTTAGCATAGGTAGTGTCTTTGCTTATTATGTAATATATAAATGATATATTATTTGTGCATCTTATCGCCAAAAATTGTTCTTAATAGTTTAATGAGAACAAACTTATTATCTTCTTAATCATATTTTTTTGTGTTTTTAATTATATTTCATACATATTTCCATCGCCTATTAACAGTTCGACCTTTTGCTGCTCTTCAGAACCGACGAGCATCGTGTTTCTATGTACGTCCGTTTTTAAATCGGATCTCTGGAATTTAGGATCTCATCCAGGAGCTGCCAAACATAACGACCTTTGTCCTCTAACATTTCAATCACTTCAACCGCCGTTTCTTCTCCAGCGTTCTCCTGTTCGAACTCCAGTAGTTTGTCGGGATTAAGTTGCAAATATTCTGCCCATCTTTGTAGCAATTTATCGAATATGTAACGCAACATGGCATCCTCCCTTAGTCCGTCCTCAATATCGCGCTGGACACGTGACCACATGTTACGCTCAATGACCCTGGGAGCACAGAGAGCGGATGTAGATTTAGATGTCTGTCTAACGTTACATGGCATTTCGTCACCACGTATGGTCCCACATGATTCCGACAATCCTACAGTTTTATTATTAATTTTGTTTTCTATATTTTCATCGCCACTTTGATCGTCTTCATCAGTTGTTACGACGCCAATGTCTTCAGCACAGCTTACCGTTTCGGTATCCGAATCGTCGGAATCTTCTTCCTTTTCCGTGTGAGGAACACTATTTTCTTCTTCCGTTGTCGTCGTTTCGTCAGGTTCTTCAATTGAATGCAGTGACGTCATGGCCAGCATGTCTTGGAAATGCTTTTGTATGAGAGCAGCGTTTGGGATGCTTGTCTGGATTTCGTTGTCCAGTACTTCACTTTTAGACTCCCTCGTGGTCAATATCTGCCGCAGTCGTCCATGCAATGGTTCTGGCTTGTTGTATAACTTTACCATGGTATATGGCGAAACGATGCTCGGTGTCTCACGATAAACTTTGTCTTGTCCTTGCTGAGCGGTCGTGTTTGCTTTCCAGTTGGACATTCCTGAAGCAGCAAGGTACTGATGATCCAGATTAACCAGGTGAAGGAAGTCCTTTGGTTCTGTCGTTTCTGATGTGTTATTTTCGTCCGGTTCTATTCTTGATTGCATCTCGACATGGGCGGTGTCCGATTCGTTATATATAGCTCTGATTGTTTTGTCCAACTTTTCCGATGATGTACATGTATTGCATTTTGAAGTTTCCTTGTCTTCTAACATATTTTCCGTTTGTCCCTGAGGCATACTGGCATTACTAGATATTGTGGCGGCTGAAATATTTTCGGACGGCTTAAACAAATCTTTATGCTGTTTCTTTGCATCGTTCGATTCAGTTTGTTTACAACAGGAAACAGTCGTCGGCGGTGGTTCTTCTGTATCCGAATTTACATTTGGTTGCTTGTTGCCTTCATCAGGCCGAACGGTTGTCGTGGTGTTGAGGCCGGAAATGTTGACAGATATGCTTGGAGTTTTAGACAAATCCACCCCTTCCTCAACATAGCCACCAACTTCAGTAGGTGTGCTTTTCATGGACTCCATCTTGTTGATGTGCGAACTAGTTCTGGCAATCAAATCACAACATCCGTCTCCAGGCACGAAATATCGCTTTGACAACCATTGGATAGTGTACTTCAGTACCAATTGACGTCACTGTGCTTATGACGTCACAATTCGTGCATAAAGTCGTCATCTTGGTGATGATGGAGATAATCACACTTCTATGCTCTAGGTATTCGAAACGACCCTTGCACTTAATGTTAAACTATCGTACAGCAACCTGGTTTGCAAATCGCAAATAAATGTTAAACTAACGTTGGCCTCGACAAGTATTGCGCATGTCACGTCAATGCCGCCACATTTAAGGTTAATACAACGAACTTCAAGTTCTTGCCTTACTACCATTTCATAGGCTGGGCAAATTGAAACCATTTATTATCTTTTCGAAACAAAAACAGCCGGAGAGTGACATACATATTTTTTTCCGAAAGAGTTTTAAGACGAATACAAATATAAGCCACGACCGTTCATAACAGAACGGCAATAATGCCATTCAAATAGTATATTTACATATAAAAATCTCTGTATCAGCAGCACTACACCAACATATCACGGTATTTGAGGGTGGGACCGATTAATGGAGATCTACGAACAAGTACAGTTGTGGGATCGCACAACGTTACACGATGTGCGGTGTGCGCACGATGTGTGCACGGTGTGTGAACGGTGTGTGCACGATGGGCGAACGATAAAAAGCTGAACGATCATTGCTTGCGCACATATGTGTGCACGATGGACGGACGTTGTGCGATAACAATCGTGGTTGGTGTAAATTGAGGAATGCCTTAACAATTTATACGGTTTCGTGTTTAAACATATAAACTTGATGTTTACGTATGTTTCTATATTCTAGCAACATCTATAAACTTATCTTTCCGTCTATATATTCTTATATTTAGGAATTGTGTTTTCTGTGTTTTTAAACAAACTTAATCGACACATGTAAAATTACAACACAATCCCGTATACAGGTAAACATAACCACTTTGTACATGTACCTGGACCGTAGTTTTCTCCCCGCCTGGGGCATTTACGTAACTCGTCGGGTAAGGCCGGGGTGTGAAAATCCAGGTGAAGGGGAGCTATAGGCAAGCGAATGCAAATAACAAATACTATTCATTACGGTCAAACGGTATCGCATATCAGCTCTGTGTGTCAGGCACTGGTCAGGTAAAACTCCGGACACTCATAAAATTGTTATTTACCTGTTCTGTTACCTTGGAGCCAAACCCATTCTTGACAGCCTAACGGTCGCTGTAATACTGTGTAACACGCATTGTGAAATTGTATAATCTTGATTATTGTGATGAGAAATTACAGATATATACACAGTGTACATTATCGCATACAAGCCTTCCGTATTTTTGTCATTCCGTAATTTTGATCTACAAATGATACCAAATCGCACAGTTGTGCGGAGAGAAGCGCACAACGGGGCGAACGATTGCTAAATCGCACAGTTGTGCGCACCATGTGTGGACGATGTGCGGACGGTGTGTGAACGATGTATGCACGGTGTGCGCACGCTATTTTTGGTGCGTTGTGCGGTCCCACAACTGTATATTTGTCGAAGTTATACAATGCTGTCATGAAGTCTCAACATATACCTGATGATTGGAAAAGGCCTTATCATAACACTGTATAAGGGAAATGGTAAACCGAAAAACGACCCGAATAGTTATAGAGGGGTGACACTTTTACCTGTAATATTCAAAATTTTTGAAATTATTTTGTCAAAGAGATTGGATCATGTCCTTAGCACGGATAATTTCCCAAACAGGCAACAATTAGCATATCAAAAGGGGTTATGTAGTCTGCTAACGTCTTTTAATATTCAAGAATGCATACGATATAACGCCGAGAAAGGAAAAGACGTACAAGTAGGATTTCTTGATAGCAATAAGGCTTTCGACACCGTTTCGCATGCTGGGTTGCTCTTTAAACTGCACGAATTAGGAATGAAATGTAAATCATGGAACATTATGAAAAATATGTATACCAATGTACAAAGTAGTATTTTAGTGAACGAATTGAGGTCAAGATGAGTAAAAATGGAGCGCGGTATCTTACAGGGAAGTGCTGTATGTATCATGTTTTTATAAATGAATTGTTGAACAATATTGAAAAATGTGGGAAGGGTACAGTAATAGTAACTCTGCGAGTTAACATTCCCACACAAGCAGATGATATATGTGTAATTAGTACTAAATATTCTGATCTGCAATACATGCTTTCTATATGTGAATAGTACAATAAGAAATGTAGATTTACATTTTCTTCTGCTAACCTTTTCCTGTAAAAGAAGAAATATTGAACGTAAGACTCTGTATTTATGTAATTGTATTCTTCCGAATGTTGATGATATCGTCCATGTTGGTGTAATGCTGAACAGTAAATTTAATTCAATAGAGCGTACCTTACGTGCATGTAACAAGTTACAAAGCGGAACCATAAGCACCATTCGATGTGGTTCCCATCCAAGTGCTTTAAATCCACTAACTAAATGTAGAATTATAAAATGTAAAGTGTATGCTGCAGCCTTATATGGTTGTGAGTTATGGTGTTTATCCAGAACAGAAATATTTATGCTCTTGAAAGAGCACATTTCATCTTGAAAGCAATACAAGGTTTTGAGACTAAAACCCGTACAGATATGTGTACAAGGCTACTTGGATGGACTAGTATAGAATCCTATATAGACACTAAGAAAGTGTTGTTCCTAGGTAGGTTATGTAGATTAGATAAGACGCATTTGTCATCTCGTGTATTCTTTACAAAATATTTTCTCGTTGATATAGAATCTAAATTAAGTTCAAATAGACAAGGGTTCGCAGTTGATATACTCAGAATACTGCAAAAGTATAAATTGTTTGAAGTGTTTAATGATTTTATAACTAACTGTGCTTTTCCATCTAAATGTATGTTGCATGTTAAAGTAAGAATGTCGTATACTCAGTGGGGGAATTAGCGTGGCGAGAAAGAATGGCCAATGATGGCGATTATACCAGATTTTCTTTTTTTTATTATGGAGACTGGCATTTAAATTCCAAGCCAAAAGAGAAGCTATACACTATATCATGAAATTAATTGTAACTATCAGAGAGTGTGAGGGTCAAGAATTGTGTCATAAATGTGGTTTTATGTACAGTGATATAGCCAACCATATAGTTCTACAATGTGATTATACAGGAAAGTTAAGAGATAATTTATGGTGTGATATCATAAATATAAAAGACATAATGTTTAGTGTGTACTTACATTCCATGTCTGATTATGATCTGTTTCATATCCTCATTGGACGAAATGTAGAACATGAGTTGAATTCATCGGAGTTAGATGACTTTCGCATAAAATCTGTAACTTGTATATTCAGAATGTGCAAACTTTACTACAAATGATGTGTTAACCTAAACTTTATAATGTGTCAATTGTAACATTTTTCCTTTTTCTGTATTTCTTAAGATAAGTTAAGGAGCGTAGTGACGCAAAGGGGAGTTAACTCCAGCGTAACCCTTAATTTACAATACAATTTACCTTTTGAATTTCCGTTTGCATATTGTCATATAACATATACGTTACTTTATCAAAATTCAATGAATGCATATATGTATTGTTCTGTTTGTGAATCTTCGATTCGGAGGAAATAAAGAGAATAATAATCCCGGTATTTGAGGGTGGGATTGATTAAAGCTTTCCACAATGTATTATGGAGATCCCCGAACACGTATACAGTAGGGACAGTTACACTCCCCTGACGTTGTGTGTTTGACACACAGCACTTACAGGTACCCACGTTTGGACTGAACAGTTGATACGGTTTTCGGATCGCATTTAAGTTACATGTGCCAACTATATATATGCTCAAGTGAGTTAGATGTTGTGTTTGATATTCTTGTAGTTGACAAAAGCATGGACTTTATTTAACCAGCTGTTACAGTTTTTGTTTTGTATTATTGTCTTTTATTAGATTTTCTCCTTTATACGTAACCCCACGAACAACACATAATGTGTTTACCTTAACATTTTGTTTTTGAAACAATTCGTCATTTATCGTACGCTCTAAATACATGCTCACTACACAATGTTTTATTCTGGGTATTTTTCTGTTATTTTGATCTTTTTCCCCTCAATTTGTAGGTTCATATGGTCGACATATAACGAAGATGTGGAAACAAACCATTTTGGGAAGATTTTTGCTGAGTGATGCGTTTTGTAACCATATGCCGACAGTGTGAACAGTTTATTTCTTCTTGTTATCCTTATCTTCTGTTACAATGACATAAAGTTGAGAGCAATTTAGTTATTCATGTAAAATTTATTATATTTAAAAATTTCGAGTTCAAAGTACATTACAAACTTGGCAGTCCCCGATAGTTCTTAATTTAATACAGATTATAAATTAAAACATGCATTTCTTTTACAAAATTGACATCTTGTATATCAAATGTTATAAGCTAATTATCATATATTTGCATTCACAAGTAAATATCTCAAATACCAGAGTAAATTCTACTATAGGTCACAATAAATAGGTATATATTAATAGGAATAATAGCAATACTTAAAAGCTTTTTGTATATGAAATAAGTGCTCTGGTATCATTACAAATCGTCCGTGCTGTCATTGCACAATAAAGCACGGTATTGATAGACGTATGCTGTTCATAGGAGCCTACATACTTCCAGCATATGTTTGTGTAGATACCGCTTCTGTGCGAAAGCCCTCCCGCATCGCTGACAGGAAAAGTTTTTGCATTTGACGGAATGAATCAGCATATGGGAACGCAAATTACTTTTGTCCGCGAATGCCTTGTCGCAGCCTACACTGGGACACGTGAAAGGTCGTTCGCCCGTATGGGTTCGGGTATGACCCTTAAGAAGCCATGACCGGGTGAATATCTTTCCGCATATATCGCACTTGTTCTTCTGTTTCATATGATGGGATCTGAGGTGGGCAGTGAACGCCGACAGTGTCGCGAACGTCCTGTTGCAATCGTCACAGCGCAAACTTGACGACTCTTCAAATGTCTCCTCTGGTTGGACATTAAGCATGACTCTCCGATTTCGACCGGACTCCAGCAACCTTCGGGCATACTCAGTCACGTCCTCATTACTCTCGGGCTGCGATGAATCACAATCGTCTGTCAAACATAAATCGGCGAAATCCTTCACGCTTTCGTTCGAATCAGAGTCGATGAGATAGGAGTTGTCGTTCTTGTCGTAGTTTGGCTTTGGCTCAGAATCGAAGTCGATGATGGGATCTAACTGTGAATCATCTGACATGTTATCATCAAGTAACCCGAAGTCGGATTCCTCCTGATAAGTCCCCAAGAAAACGTCATCATTTTCGTATTCATCGTCGGTTTGCCATTCATTGCTTGATTCGGAGTCGTAGTCACTCGGCAGGTCGGACCTGTTCTCACACGGATATTCGCCCAAACACTCCAATGTCTCCCTGGGGTTCACACCGGCCAACTCCAGGTGTGGCACGCGCAAGCTGATTTGGAACCTCGTGACGAAGGACATGTAGCTCATAGACTTGTACTTAACAATTGGGTATTTTTTCTTCTTCTGTGGGTTTCTTGTGGTGGGCTTGACCTCTTTCTGTGGAGAGCGAGAGTCTGATGACTGCTTCTTGTGTCGGAACGGTACCTTTTTGATTGCCAAACCTGAACGAGTCGTCATGACGTTTGGATCACGTTCTGGAAATAAATAACATCGGAGGAATTTTTTAAAACTTTATCCGTGATTACGGAAGCATTTGGGTTTAAGCCACTGCAATATTTATGGTCATATAACGACACATAAAGTCGATAAGAATATATGACGAACGACAACAGCTTAAATGAATATCGGTAAGGGTATACGAACGATAATGTCATATGACGAACGATAAGATCATTTGGCGATAGATAAGGTCAAATCGTTATTTTTTCCAAAGGATATATAATAAATAATATTTAATAATGAATAATTGAGATTTCCAGGACAAAAAAAAGTTTCCGAGTCCTCCCGTATGAATTGGTTTATAAGTAAAAACCTCCATCGGTATTCTTTCAATAATTATGATAATGTCTGGGGGAACATGAGGCGTAAAAATACACATTGCTAATTGACTATTCATATTTTGTATTGTATTAGGGTATCTAGAACGCATGGACCCTCGGGCTGAATGACATCAAGAGGCAACAAATTAGCCTTCTTTTTTCTCTGTGAAAAATCACCCAAAAACTTATTGAGAACAGAGATGACATAAATAATTAATATTTTCGAGAAATTTAATCAATTTAACACGTTAGATGTCTTGTAAAAACATCATTTTAGGATTTCCCGAACACTTATATCAATATAAGCCGAGTCCTAACGATCGATTCGATGCAAAAATATGAATAATAAATATAATACGGTGGAATTGATAGGCATATGCCTACCTCCATATACAATTACTAACATACACAATTAGACTATGACGTTACACAAGAGGGTTAAATTTTACTTAAAATTGAAATACAAATCGTGTCCACTAAAAAGACTTCAAGAACTTTACCGCTTCAAAAGAAGTTGATGAAAAATCATGAGTAAGATAAATTGTATACCTAATTCCCAATCTATGGAGGCCTTATATTAGCTTATAACTTGTGCATTTTGATTTTGTTCAAAGAGAGTCTCTATGATACATTGTAATTACTAAATGTTAGAACTGTACTATTCTGTTGACTCTATATCTTTTTTTCTTTCTTAATCTACGATTAGTTAACTATTTAAGATGAAATGTGGGTGACTTTCATCTTTATGAACATCTTCAGTAGGCTGTGGAGCAGTCATGCCAGGGGAGGTAACCGAGATAGTTCTAAGTCATTTTAAAAAGTTGTCAGAGTTTATGTTTTGCAAATAAACAATATATCCTATGTCCAAATGTATATTAATATCTGCAAAACCTAACAGAATAACATTTTACTTCTGATTAACGCTTGCTTATCGGTAGACCTCGAACATAATCTGCAATTTTTTGCATTTTGCATTCGTCAATGTGATGGGATGGCGCTGGGTTAGCCTATTGTGGTTATTATGTAGAATACGAACATATATCACAAAAAGAATACAAAGATAAAAATCAACATGGTAATATCTTTCACACCAGTACAATGATTTGATGATAAAGGTGTTACTGAATATGAAGGTGATGGATTTCCTGTCAAATTACGATTCGATGCCATTTAGGCCTACTCACTGAAACAGTAACGTTCTTGTCGATGGCCTATTTTGAATATTCCAGCGTTGGCTACTTTGATTACATACCTTGACCACCAAACCATCGACCAGTTCTGTAGTCTCTCACAGCATGTATGAGGCATTTCGGCATGCTGCTGATTAAAATCGAAAACGGCTTTTTAGTGTGTCAAACTTGGCAACCAGAATATCATTTGAACGTTTGTTTACATGGCGTCCGTCTGCACTGTTGGTTGTGAAGCGCGCGCTGTGACGCTTGTTGCTAGGCAATCATTGCAACTGTGGACGGGCACCTGTGTTGTCGCGAAAACGAAATTTGCAATATGTTTCGATATAAATATCCTTTCTTAGTTCAAGTTTTCTAAACCGTTTAAATGTCAATAGGTATTCTCTTTTGTTACACTTTACTTTTGAATATTTCCCGCCTGTCAATTTGTATAAATTGACTGTCTGAACGGGATAACAAAAACTTAGATAATAATAAGGAAGGGTCATATTCAGATTCAACAAAAAGGTCATCCATTGATACAATAGATATCCGATTTCGATCCTCTCCGAAAATGCCATAAGGAACTAATACAGACATATACCTCGAAAAACACAAGATTTTTAATAAATTGACCGGCTGGCAAACGATGTCCCATAGGAAAATTGGACAGAGCAAGTGACTTGGTTTTCTGTTGATTATCTCCAATATTTGCAAACATTCATCGTTATTTCTTTATTTATTTTGGATAAAATATCGGCTTAAAATGATTTATTTAAAGTTTGTAAAATATTTAATGAATAAAAGCGAANCCACCCACCCACCCTAGCTAAATTCACTGCTTTTTGAGTTTACTTTTTTTCTCTCAGATCAAACTCGTAAAAAACTGCAAAATAGCGATAGGTATCAAATTCGTATTGCCGTTATCAAAAGTATACAAAGCATTTTGCACGATCGGAAGTATCACTCTGGACAGCAGGAAGAAGTTAGAATGTTTTTTAAAAGATTCTTGCTGATTTATTAAAGTTTGGGTATAATTTTGATGTTTTGAAATAGAAACAATATACCTTCATCAAAAAGTGCCAAAAATTATAAGAAAACGTTGAGTTAGTGAAGTTATATGAAGATTAATTGTCTGTGACGTTAGCTGTTATGTCTGTGACTTTACACCTTTATTTTCACTGTCTCTGTCAGCGATATAATTATAGTACTTGTTTATATTAATTCATTTGATAGAAAAACACTTAACTATTTTCAATATAAAATATTATATTTTCCCGCATTCAAAGACTGAGCACCAAAATTCCATTCTAGAAGGCATCTGAAGAAGCCGTGATAGGCGAGCAAGTTTTACAAGGGAAATAACTCCGTCTGACTGAGTGATTTGTGAGATCACAGCGTAAGTATTGTGTTATTTTTAAAATAAAAATCATAATTATATTGGTGTGAAATTCGGGAGATGGCAAATTTACTGATGAGTGTGAGATTTTGAGATAATAACATCAATGTTGAGTACGGGAGTGTGAGATTTTTGACACGGCACTATCAATGTCGAGTGCTCGGAGATTTGTGTGATGACAACAGTAGTACTGAGTATACGATTTCTGTTACGACACTGTCAGTGTCGAGCGCTCTGAGATTTGTGTGATGACAACAGTAGTACTGAGTATACGATTTCTGACACGACACTATCAGTGTCGAGTGCTCGGGGATTTGTGTGATGACAACACTAGTACTGAGTAAACGATTACTGACACGACACTATCAGTGTTGAGTGCTCGGGGATTTGTGTGATGTAAACATCAATGTTGAATGTCTGATTTGCGTGACGAAAGCATAAATGCCGAGTGTGAGATTTGTGAGATGGCACAATTAATGTTGTCCGAGATTGATGATAAGACAACATCGATACTGTCTGTCAGAATATTATCGTTGAGTGTGCCCTGATGGCTGATAGAATTGTAAATACGACTGATTAGCCTCCAGTATGCGGAGATGCACGTTTTTAATTATCACAGCTGAAATTGATTTGGTAAGTAATTAGTGGAGGGTACACCTATGTTCCTTTTTACTTGTACATACCTGGAATAACAGTAACACGTGGTATAAATAAAGATAATAATACAACACATTAATCAGATATGTTAGTAAACCGGCCACACTTTACATGGATATGGTATAAATCAGTCGGTCTGAATCTCACTGCTCATGGATAAAATATGTATCTTTTTAAGTCGAATCAATTCATAAAACACACACGCACGCGAACACGTGTAAGATGTATTTCTGTTGGCTGTGTCGTGTCTGCCGTCTGTTACCTCCGACCGTACACCTTCATGATATGTTGACGATTGAACGAAACGAAAACGACTATTGATCGGGCGGAGTACTGAGTACGCTATATGTATTAATTATTTATTTGTCGCTGGGCTTGCATTGTGTGTCGGTGATATTACTTACACAAGCGTAATCAGGGACGTACTCACGGGTGGTGGTAATAAACACATTGACAAAACCTACTCCAGTAGAAATTCTGAGATTTAGGTGATATAAAGTGACAGGAGACATGGCAGGCGTGAGGTGTGTGTTACTGCTGCTGTACACCACAAGGTAGTGGGTTTCGTTCCGTAAGTATTATCCCACAGTGCGTGCAATGCTATCATGTATCGCACTCGTATAAAACGGACATGTGGAACCGTTAAGAACGGCTCGTGGTAGTAGGTACTTGCTACTATTGAACGTATACTGATAAATGAAGCAGTGTTAGTGTAGGTTTTCCGTACCACAGTGGCACTCTGTGCTTCTGTCCAATAACATCAAACCGCCTTATATGGTTAATCGGCGGTCCTATACTACACACATACACGATACACATCGCATTTTCGCATAATTTATTCGCCCTGTCGAAGAAAATTTTCGCTTCGCCCCTTCGTGCTTCCCCCGTGGAGAATGATTGTACTGATAGACTCTTTCGAAAGCAAATTATGAGGGCTTTTAACCTTCCGATGGACAGAACATGACCGGATTAATGGAATACTGACCAAAGTGCTTCTAAACGGTATTACACAAAACGCCATTATCTTCGACCCATCCTCTCCACTATCCAGTAGCAGCAACGCTAATTTCCACACAACAGCTGATAACGGAACCTGAAGGATCATGGCTTACAACAGTGCATTTATATATAAAACACCGTCTCGCTGATTATCAACGCTCCTGTGATGTGCCGTATATTTTACACAAGGAATTAGTTTCCAAATTACGTCAGGATTTTACCAGTGCAATAGGTACGAGGAAACTTAACTCTTGTTGATATTTACGAGTCAAGTAAGATTCTTTATAAATCTGTCAACCTTTGTTTTTAAAGTACATTGTTTACAAATATAACGTAAGTTTTTCTATGATTAATTTTAATTGAAATAATTTAATTGATTGATGTAAATTATTTTTTGATAATTATTTCTGTATTTCGTTTCTGCATTTTGTTATTTACATACACTTGTTTTCGGCCACCGTAATCTGGAAGCTGAGTGTGTAGTGATATTCAGCAGTTGACAATCTCTATTCGCGTTGGATTTGCGAGACTAAGACGAGGATTGTGTTAACTGTTACTGTTAATACCAGTCTGGTACTCCCACATCGTGGATGTATTGGTAGTTATAACCACACCGTGGTCACATTGTGCCGTTCATGAGGAGAGGGAACCACTGTTCTTTGAATAAGTAAATGGACATTTGACCGTTACACGTGGAATGCACTGGTCACTAGTGCCTAAATGACACAAGGAGGAGGTCGTTTCGATTTTGATGACGGGGGGACGTACTGTGGGGGTTGGGAAGATGGCAAAGCCAACGGACACGGGGTGTGTACCGGGCCTAAGGGCCAGGGAGAGTACTCTGGGGCGTGGCAATATGGCTTCGAGGTGTCGGGCGTTTACACCTGGCCTAGTGGAAACTCGTTCAAGGGCCAATGGTTCCAGGGAAAGAGACACGGGCTGGGAGTAGAAACGAAGGGCCGATGGGTCTACCGGGGGGAGTGGACCCAGGGATTCAAGGGCCGTTACGGTGTCCGACAGAGCGTCTCCTCCGGGGCCAGGTACGAGGGCACGTGGACCACCGGGTTACAGGACGGCTACGGGTGCGAATCCTACGCTGATGGAGGTAAGTCACGTGTGACCTTGAGCTTGGGACATCTGAGTAGTTCATGGCTTAGTTTTTACACCCTCGCCTCAATTCCTACAAACTCTCTTTATTTAGAATAAAACCTAAAAGGTCAAGGTCGCAGATCACCCTTGGCTCTACTGCCATGAGACTACAGGTCATACAAGGCGGTAGGTCAAGGCGCTAGAGTGATTTGCTGAGGTCAAAAGTCAAGTTTTAAAGGTCATATACACTATGTCTATCCTCATCATGTCTTGCAGAAACATTATCTGATTAAACTTTGTCTAGAGAATGAAGTAAGTAGTTTGATAGTTTAGAAAAGGTTTGATATAATTGACCATAATTTGTATAGCTATATACTTTAACTGACATTTCGCGGCTCTCTAGCCCCGGTTCTATTCGACCGGTCAGCATCACCAATGTCCAACATATCGCTAAACCTGTCTCAATGTCCATCTAACACGACCATGCATGTTTCGACATACAATAGTTTATATGTGTTCTGTTGTGCTAATTCTTGGTTGAGAATAACATTAAGCCTAATACGCAACACGCAGATTATGTCCCTATATTCCATATTAAGCACTTTTGAAACGTAAATTTGATGAAAAAACGTATCACCTTTGTCATGGATGACTACCATCAAGCAGCAAAGAGTTGCTAAAACCCTTTTGTGGTGCACACGACATCAGGTGTATACTAAATATAGGTGTAGGGTAACACGTTTTCTAAAGAAGTCTCTGGTATGTGTACTTACAAGGGTATGTGTACGTATAACAGACGTCTACCCAGTGATACACGAGGGTATAACAGACGTTTTGACTAATTATGCACGTGGGTATAACAGACGTTTACCCAGTAATACACGAGGGTATAACAGACGTCTACCCAGTAATACACGAGGGTATAACAGACGTCTACTCAGTAATACACGAGGGTATAACAGACGTTTACCCAGTAATACACGAGGGTATAACAGACGTCTACCTAGTAATACACGTGGGTATAACAGACATCTACCCAGTAATACACGAGGGTATAACAGACGTCTACCCAGTAATACATCTGGTAATAACAGACGTCTACCCAGTTTAACACGAGTGTATAACAGAGTTTACCCAGTAACACACGAGGGTATAACAGACGTCTACCCAGTAATACACGTGGGTATAACAGACGTCTACCCAGTAACACACGTGGGTATAACAGACGTCTACCCAGAAATACACGAGGGGATAACAGACGTCTACCCAGTAATACACGAGTAATACACGAGGGTATAACAGACGTTTACCCAGTAATACACGAGGGTATAACAGACGTTTACCCAGTAATACACGTGGGTATAACAGAGGTCTACCCAGTAATACACCTGGGTAAAACAGACGTTTACCAGGTAATATACGAGGGTATAACAGACGTCTACCCAGTCATACATCTGGTAATAACAGACGTCTACCCAGTTTAACACTAGTGTATAACAGAGTCTACCCAGTAACACACGTGGGTATAACAGACGGCTACCCAGTTTAACATGAGTGTATAACAGAGTCTACCCAGTAACACATATGGTTATAACAGACGTCTACCCAGTAATACATCTGGTAATAACAGACGTCCACCCAGTTTAACACGAGTGTATAACAGAGTCTACCCAGTAACACACGAGGGTATAACAGACGTCTACCCAGAAATACACGTGGGTATAACAGACGTCTACCCAGTTTAACACGAGTGTATAACAGAGTCTACCCAGTAACACATATGGTTATAACAGACGTCTACCCAGTAATACACGTGGGTATAACAGAGGTCTACCCAGTAATACACCTGGGTATAACAGACGTCTACTCAGTAATACACGAGGGTATAACAGACGTCTACCCAGTAATACACGTGGGTATAACAGACGTCTACCCAGTTTAACACGAGTGTATAACAGACGTCTACCCAGTAACACACGTGGGTATAACAGACGTTTACCCAGTAATACACGAGAGTATAACAGAGGTCTACCCAGTAATACACCTGGGTATAACAGACGTCTACTCAGTAATACACGAGGGTATAACAGACGTCTACTCAGTAATACATGAGGGTATAACAGACGTCTACCCAGTATTACACGTGGGTATAGCAGACGTCTACCCAGTAAAACACGTGGATATAACAGACGTCTACCCAGTTTAATACGTGGGTATAACAGACGTCTACCAAGTTTAACACGAGTGTATAACAGACGTCTACCCAGTAACACACGTGGGTATAACAGACGTCTACCCAGTAAAACACGTGGATATAACAGACGTCTACCCAGTTTAACACGAGTTAATAACAGACGTCTACCCAGTTATACGTGGGTATAACAGACGTCTACCCAGTAATACACGAGGGTATAACAGACGTCTACCCAGTGATACACGTGGGTATAACAGAGGTCTACCGCGTAATACACGAGGGTATAGCATTCGTCTACCCAGTAATACATCTGGTAATAACAGACGTCTACCCAGTTATACGTGGGTATAACAGACGTCTACCCAGTAATACACGAGGGTATAACAGACGTCTACCCAGTGATACACGTGGGTATAACAGAGGTCTACCGCGTAATACACGAGGGTATAGCATTCGTCTACCCAGTAATACATCTGGTAATAACAGACGTCTACCCAGTTTAACACGAGTTTATAACAGACGTCTACCCAGTCATACGTGGGTATAACAGACGTCTACCCAGTAATACACGTGGGTATAACAGAGGTCTACCGCGTAATACACGAGGGTATAACATTCGTCTACCCATTAATACATCTGGTAATAACAGACGTCTACTCAGTAATACACGAGGGTATAACAGACGTCTACCCAGAAATACACGAGGGTATAACAGACGTCTTCCCAGTAATACACGAGGGTATAACAGACGTCTACCCAGTAATACACGTGGGTATAACAGACGTCTATACAGTAATACACGTGGGTATAACAGACGTCTACCCAGTAATACACGAGGATATAACAGACGTCTACCCAGTAATACACGAGGGTATAACAGACGTCGACCCAGTGATACACGTGGGTATAACAGACGTCTACCAGGTAATACACGAGGGTATAATAAACGTCTACCAGGTAATACACGTGGGTATAACAGACGTCTACCCAGTAATACACGAGGGTATAAAAGACGTCTACCCAGTTATACACGAGGGTATAACAGACGTCTAACCAGTAACACACGTGGGTATAACAAACGTCTACCCAGTAATACTCGAGGGTATAAAAGACGTCTACCCAGTAATACACGAGGGTATAACAAACGTCTACCCAGTAATACTCGAGGGTATTCTACCCAGTTTAACACGAGTGTATAACAGAGTCTACCCAGTAACACACCAGGGGATAACAGACGTCTAACCAGTAACACACGTGGGTACAACAAACGTCTCCCCAGTAATACTCGAGGGTATTCTACCCAGTTTAACACGAGTGTATAACAGACGTCTACCCAGTGATACAGGTGGGTATAACAGACTTCTACCAGGTAATACACGTGGGTATAACAGAGGTCTACCCAGTAATACACGAGGATATAACAGACGTCTACCCAGTTTAACACGAGTGTATAACAGACGTCTACCCAGAAATACATGTGGTAATAACAGACGCCTACCCAGTAATACACGAGGGTATAACAGACGTCTAACCAGTGATACAGGTGGGTATAACAGACGTCTACCAGGTAATACACGTGGGTATAAAAGACGTCTACCCAGTAATACACGAGGGTATAACAGACGTCTAACCAGTGATACACGTGGTTATAACAGACGTCTAACCAGTAATACACGAGGGTATAACATACGTCTAACCAGTGATACAGGTGGGCATAACAGACGTCTACCCAGTAGTACACGTGGGTATAACAGACGGCTACCCAGTAATACACGAGGGAATAACAGACGTCTAACCAGTAACATAACAGACGTCTACCCAGTAGTACACGTGGGTATAACAGACGGCTACCCAGTAATACACGTGGGCATAACAGACGTCTACCCAGTTATACACGAGGATATAACAGACGTCTAACCAGTAACATAACAGACGTCTACCCAGTAATACACGTGGGTATAACAGACGTCTACCAGGTAAAACATGAGGGTATAACAGACGTCTAACCAGTAACACACGTGGGTATAACAGACGTCTAACCAGTAACACACGTGGGTATAATAGACGTCTAACCAGTGATACATGTGGGTATAACAGACGTCTACCCAGTAATACACGTGGGTATAATTGACGTCTACCCAGTAATATACGAGGGTATTACAGACATCTACCCAGTGATACGCGTGGGTATAACAGACGTCTACCAGGTAATACACGTGGGTATAACAGACGTCTACCCAGTAATACTCGAGGGTATAACAGACGTCTACCCAGTAATACTCGAGGGTATAACAGACGTCTACTCAGTAATACTCGAGGGTATAAAAGACGTCTACCCAGTAATATACGAAGGTATAATAAACGTCTACTAAGTAATATACGAGGGTATAACAGACGTCTACTCAGTAATACTCGAGGGTATAACAGACGTCTACCCAGTGATACACGAAGGTATAATAAACGTCTACTAAGTAATATACGAGGGTATAACAGACGTCTACCTAGTAATACACGTTGGTATAACACACGTCTATCCAGGGATACACATGGGTATAACACACGTCTACCCAGTGAAACACGTTGGTATAACAGACGTCTACCCAGTTTAACACGTGGGTATAACAGTTGTCTACCCAGTAATACACGTGGGTATAACAGACGCCTATACAGTAATACACGAGGGTAAAATAGTCGTCTACCCAGGAATACATGTGGTAATTACAGAGGTCTACCCGGTATTAAACATGGGAACAACATATTTCTACACAGTATTAGTCTAATACATCACAGACTTGACTAGTCGGTGACTTAACTAGTTCGTA